TTCTGAACAGTCACAGAATGTCTACTATGACCTGACCTTTGTAACGGTACTGGGGAAAAAGTAATGGAAATGATCAACGTGTCTTACAGACTTAATAGTTCCTCTTATTTGAATTTTACAGAATTTAAAATTGGATGATATGGAGTTTTCTGCCTGGCCGTTCTTTCTCAAGACTCACTTTGTCTGATTCCCTCTAAACAGGAATTTTTATTCTAAATGGTTTAGCGATCTCTTTGCTATTTTTGAACTTACTGAAATAACATGGTGTGAAACATCCCAGGTTGACACCAGTCGTCCTAGTGTAATTGGAATTAGGAGGAGGGAAAAAGCACCAAGAACAGTGAGAATAATGACAGTCCTACAACCACCAGGTGGCATTTGTCACCACTTAGCTAATAAAGAAGATTCTTGAAAATATCAGGGGAAAAAGGTTTTCTCAGCCTTGCTTGACAGCCTCCTTCCCTGGAGGCTCAACAGAAGGAATATGCTTTAGTAATCACATCAAGAACTGAAAATGATTCAATGACTCCATAGCCAGACATATTAAAAGATTTCATTCAAACTAAAAAGTGTTTAAGAATGGTATTTTAAAAAGCAGTTAAAATTCCTTTAACAAAATCCTTCTATTAATAGAATCAAAGGCCTAGGAAAGGATTACAGAAAGCAATCTTCCTAGTTTCCAAAAGCTTACTTTAAACCATTCTAAATTAATGGAAATCAGTCCTCCAGGGTACTGTACCTAGTGACTTTCACCATAGAAATCCCTATTACATGTACTATTAACACGATTACTTTTTCTATATTACTTGCTAACTGGCATACTCAAGTATTTTGTTGGTATGTTTTATTTTAATATCTGATCCAACCAAATTTTTATGAGAAAAGCTAACAAAAAGAAAATATGTTTAAGACCCTTCTCAATTTGCTATCTATAAGCAAGATTAATGAACAAGGAAATTGAACTAGACAATATACCAAAAGAATAACAAACAATTCTAACACTTTTTCTGAGTATACATTGCCTCGCTACTACCAGGAAAACTTAAACATAAGCCGGCTTTGTCGATTCATTCAAAATTAACACAGCAGGCTAGAGAACCCAGAATAAGACCCACACAAATATACTCAAAACAATTTTCAACAAAGGGCCAAAACCAATTTAATAAAGGAAGGACAGCCTTTTCAACAAATGGTCTGGAGAAACCAAACATCTGCAGAGAAACCAATGAACCTTAACCTAAACCTCACACCTTATACAAAATTTAACTCAAAAATGGATCACAGACCCAAATGTAAAACATACCACTATAAAAACTTTAGAGAAAGTAATCAGATTCTAGGGCTAAGCAAAGAACACAATCCATAAAAGAAAAAATTGATAAACTGAATTTCATAGAAATTTAAAATATTTACTCTGTGAAAGACACACTGTGGAAAGGATGAAAAGACAAGCTACAAACTGGAAGGAAATATCTACAAACCACATATCTGACCAAGATCTCATATCTATAGTTTTTTAAAACTCTTAAAACTAGACAGAAAAAACTCCAAGTCCTCCAATTAAATCAGGCATTTCATCAAGGAGGCAAATTAGCACATGAAAAGATGTTCAACATCATTACCTATTAGAGAGATGCAAATTATAAACATGAGATATCACTTCACACCTATCAAAATGACTAAAATGATAGTGGCAACAACAAATGGTGACAAGGATGAGAAGAAACTAGATCACTCACACACTGCTGGTAGGAATGTAAGTAAAATGGTATAGGCACTCTGGAAAACAACTTAGCAGTTCCTTACAAAACTAACCATGCACTACCATAGGACCTAGCAACTACAATCCTGGGCATTTATCCCAGAGAAATGAAAATTTACCTTTATAGGTTGTTTAACCATTCACCTATTGAAGGATCTTCAAATTATAGTACACAAATGTTCACAGCATCTTTATTCATAATGGCCAAAAATTGGAAAACAACCCAAAAGTTCTTCAACTGGTGAATGGTTAAATAAACTGTGGTGCCTCTATACCATGGAATACCATGCAGCAATTAAAAGGGATAAAACTTTTGAAATACCATCATGTGTCACTTAACATTTCAGTCAACGACAGACTGCATATACAACAGTGGTCCCATGAGATTCTAACAGGGCTGAAAAACACCTATTGCCTAGTGACGTCATAACCTTCTTAACATCGTAGCACCATGCATTACTCAGATTTGTGGTGATACTGGTGTAAACAAACCTGTGCTGCCAGTCATATAAAAGCACAGCATATACAATTGTATACAGTATATAATACTTGACAATGACAATAAATGACTATGTTACTAGTTTATGTATTTACTACACTATACTTTTTATCATTATTTTATAGCGTACTTCGTCTACTTATAAAAAAAAAAAAGCCAGGCATGGTGGCTCACACCTGTAACCCTAGCACTTTGGGAGGGTGAGGTGGTAGGATCACTTAAGGCCAGGAGTTCAAGTCCAGCCTGGGCAATAGTGAGAGCTTGTCTCTCCAGAAAAATTAAAAAATTATCCAGGTATGGTGGTACACCTATAGTCCCAACTACTTGGGAGGCTAAAGCAGGAGGACTGCTTGAGCCAGCAGTTTGAGGCTGCAGTGAGCTATGATGATGCCACTGCACTCTAGCCTAGGCAACAAAGCCAGACCTTGTCTCAAAAATAAAAAAAAAAAGTTAACTATAAAACAGCCTCAGGCAGATTCTTAGGAGGTATTCCAAAAGAAAGCACTGCTATCATAGGAGGTGACAGATCCATGCCTGTTGTTGCCCCTGAAGACCTTCCAGTGGGCCAAGATGTGGAGGTGGAAGACAGTGATTGATGATCCTTACCCTAGGCTAATGTGTGTTTTTGTCTTAGGTTTTATTAATAACAAAAAAGGTTAAAAAGTGGAAAATATTAGAAAAAAGCTTAAAGAATAAGGATATGAAGAAAGAAAATATTTTTGTACAATGTGTTTTAACTTAAGTGTTATTACAAGAGTCAAGTTTTTTTATAAAGTAAAAATGTTACAAGCTAAGGTTAATCTTCAATTTATTATTGAAGAACATAAAATGTTTTTTATAAATTTAGTGTAACCTAAGTGTACAGTGTTCAAGTCTACAGTAGTACACAGTAATGTCATAGGCCATCAGGTTCACTGACACCCAGAGCAACTTCCCGTCCTGCAAGCTCCATTCATGGTAAACTCCTTATACAGATGTACCTTTTTTTAAATCTTTTATATCATAAATGGCTCTATGAACAAATTTCAATGAAACCTATATGCTTTTTTTATAATCTTTTCCCTGAACTAACCTTTGACCTTTTGAGTTGTTTCCCAGAAAGGATGGATTTTCTGCAAGACAAAGGAGCTGGGCAGACTACCTGACAAGATTCACCATCTCCCACAACCTGCCTGCAACGGACAAGACTTCTACCTTGTTGTGTGAAAAAAATTCCCCTCTTCCTTGGCAATCCTCATTGTCTCAACAGTTGGATATTTATGCCACAAGCAACTTGACCTAAGCTGAAACTCCCGTGTGGTTTTGACAATAATACCAATTTTTACTATAGCTTTTCTATGTTTAGATACACAAATACTTAACCATTGTGTTACAACTGCCTACCATATTAAGTACAGTAACATGCTAAACAGAGTTGTAGCCTAGAGGCAATACGCTATATCATCTAGGTTTGCATAAGTACGGTATACAATGTTCATACAATGACAAAGTCACCCAACAAAAAAGTCACCCAATGACACTTCTCAGAACGTATCCCCTTGTTAAGTAATGCATGACTATACACCACAACTTGGATGGATCTCAAGAGAATTATGCTGAGTGAAAAAAACTAATTCCAAAAGATGACAACTTATATAACATTTATATAACATTAATTTATATAACATTCTTGAAATTATGTAATTGTAGAGATGGAGACCAGATCAGCAGTTTCCAGGGGATAGGGTTGCGGGTGGGGAGGTTGGCAGGTTAACAGGTGTGGCTATAAAAGGATAGCTCCAGGGAGCCTTGTGGTAATAGAACAGTTTGGTTATTTTGATTGCAGTGGTAGTTACACAAATTTGCATATGAGACAAAATTGTGTAGAACAATACACATACACAAATGAGTACTTATAAAACTGGTGAAATAAGAATAAACTCTGGATATTGTATAAATGTCATGTCTAGCTTTGATATTGCACTATAGTCATGCAAGATGTTACCATTTGGGAAACTGGGTTAAAGGTACATAGGACCACTCTGTACATTTTTTTAGAACTTTCTGTGAATCTATAATTTTCAAAATAAAAAATATAACAGTGCTAATATTGTAAGTTTTCAAGACATTCATGTAAAATACACCATTCATATAGAACATTCATGTAAAAATTTGCTATTCTTTATATAAGGAAGAAATAATTCTAATACTAAAAGCCTTAATAAATCCTCCTTTAAAATGGTCTAATTTTTAGGTTTTTAATTATGATGCAAAAGGGTGACCATGCTTTCACAGCGTCCTAGAGTAAAAGGACATATGGATAAAAGATCACTGGGAATACATGGGAATCTAACCATGGTTCTAAAGCAGCAGTCTGGAAACCATGGCCTGCAAGACAATATGGCCCAAAGTCTATTTTGTTATGACCCAAAAGCAAAGAATGTAATGCTTTACATTTTTAAGGCATTGTTAAAAAAGGAGAGAGAAAAAGAAATATGTGACAAAAGACTACATGTAGCCTATGAAGCCTGAAATATTTACTACTGGATCCTTTCAGAAAAGGTTTGCCAAGCCTCATTCTGCAGCATTCCTCAATAAATTATATGCCAACCTTAGAATTTTAAACAAAATCTTTTCCCTGCTTATATCATCCATTTGCCCTTTCACATAGAAGTCTTCAGCTTTTTGGCCACTCCCCAATCCTGAACAGTCCCCTTAGTAAGAATGTCATTTCAAGACATTAGACTTGGCAAAGCTTACCAATGGGAGTGCTGTCTTTAGGGAGCCCAGTTGCCTGAATGACGTTCTAAATTCATGGCCCCATTCAGAAATACAGTGAGCCTCATCCACAGCAATAAGCGTGATACCTATAAAAGAGAAAAAAGACACAAATAGGGAAAATGAAGTTCAAAGAGAAAGAATAAACTCACCTAAATCAATATTAATTTCTTCACTTAGAATACATATTACCAAAAGAAGAACAAATAATCCAAATCAAAGTATTTCATTCATATAAAAATAAAAGCATAAATAACATCAGATAACACTAAAAATCATTTTTAGGAATAGGGAGAGGGGAGAGACATAAAAGCCATAAAAATTTTAAGAAGTATTTATACATTAATCCAAACAACATATTTATTGGATTTCAGCTTTCATCATTAGTCCTTGGAGAGATGAATTGCTTACTATGACTTTGTCCCCAAAACCATCACTCATGAACCACCTGCAACAACAATGCCTTTTAAAAAAGAACAGTTAGGATGGAGAGCTTAGGGTGAGGGTGGAGAAAGAATTCTCAACACAAAATTAGGATAGAAAAAAGTAAGTTTATTTTACTTTCTCTGAGAAAGACAGAAAAGGGAAAGAGACATAGAGAGACAGAAGAGAAAAGGCACAGCACCCAGAAGGAAAAAAGGGGCTTGCAAAAAAGGGGCTCCTCCCCAAGCAAGAGGAGCTCAAGATTTTTATGCCTAAAAAGGGGGGAAACAGAAAAATTTACTGCTGTAGACTGATTAGCAGGCAACAGCTGTGAGATGTCAGGGTGTTTGTTTTTCCCTTTTTTCTTCTTCTGGAGACTGGCTTATCAATGTAGTCTGGCCAAACTGGTCTGGTGAATATAGAGGAGGAAGATTTATACTTCCTGTCTGCTGACCTCTTTTCAAATGCAGGTACTTAATTCTCAAAGACAGCAAGTTAAGACCCACAAGATTAGTTTTAAAGACAGCGAGCTAGTTTATTTTTCTCTGTTAGGTAGTTTATTAGCAAGACTGTCCTTTCAAGAAATGTTCTATTTCTCTTTGATAATACTTTCAATTTTATCTCATGGAATAGCTATTAAAAAAGATAAAAAGGAGCACATATCTATTAAAATTAAGTGCATCACTATCCATGACTGATATGTATCATATTGTAGAGAGTCCCTCTGAAACACCAGTATCAGAAGACAGGATGACATCTACATTTTCTAATGTAAAACAGTATGGGAAGAACTGTCTCATTATGTACAAAGTAGGTAAGAAGAAATATAATTTGTCCTTTCTTCCCCTAGTAGCATCTCTACTCTGCCCCCATACCATACACATACATTGAAACAGAATCAACAGTGTGTAGTAATGCATTTCAGAAAAGGATTTTATAGTATAACTAACCACTGATTAAAATGTTTTCAGATATTTCAAAGTAGGAACAGTACTTTTGTCCTCAATTACCAAATTAATACTTAAGACAAGAATAATTTTTCCCTTTAGCAGGTATGATGATTACTTGATACTTCTCTGAGCATTAATCATGTTCTGACAGTAGTAGGGTGATTAAAAACCTGTGCTTGGCAGTCAGAATGCCTGGATGCAGAACCTAGCTCTGCCACCTACCATGTGTATTACATTAAGCAAATTACTTAAGCTTTGCAAGTCAGTTTCCTCACAAGTAAAACGTGAATAACATGAAAATAATGGTACCTAACATTTTTAGTTATTCTAAAGATTAAATTAGATCATCCACATAAAATGCTAAGATAGGGCCTGCCATAAAAAGGAGCTCAATAAAAAAAAATACTACTATTATTATAGTTATTAAATGACCATTATGATGCAAACACTTTTCTAGGAATAGAAAGACTAATAAAATATAATCCATAGCTTTGAGGAGTTTACAATTCTAAAAGAGGAAACAGACACGCAAATAAACAATTACAATTCATTGAGATTACAAACCGTCATAGTCCTAAGAGAGCACAGAGGAGAAAGAAAGCAAAAAAAGAAACCTACTAAATATGAGCAAAGTAGGTTGCCTAGCATCAAAATTCTCTGGTTATTACTAAGTTGCTGGGAAAAGTTCAATATTACCACTATACTTACTTTGGCTTTAGAAACTAAATCACCCAGATTTTACATTAAATAGGTTAAAACAAAGATGACAATCTTTTACTTTAAAACTTCTCTTATTTTAAAACTCTTAGTTATAGGTTTAAACAAACTAGCTTTTAATGGAGCTGAACTTTGTCCCTTCAAATCAGCTGAGGCAAGATTTTGCCAACATTCACTTTAAATGTGCAAGTCCAAGTGTCTTCTCAGCATCTATACATATTTCATTTTGGCATATTTGTCATTCAAGCTTACTTCCAAAGTTAAAACAATTACAAGTTTGGTTGGTAAAGAGTCTCTATATAAAATTATGTTTGCTGTTTCTGTTAAATAATTTAACATTTACCTAAAAATGACAAATCTGATTAGTTAAATGTCAGACTACTGTACAAATAACATCCTCAGTATATTCATTTTTGCAAGTATTTTATACAATTTCCTGCAACAAAAGCCAAAGGAAAATATTTCAAAAATAATTTTTATTTAATTTATCCCTTTTTATTCAACACTGAGTCAACCAAAGAGAACATTTTCATCCATCACAAATAATCTGCTATAATGACTGCAGTGTTCATAATTAAACCATTACAAAAATAAAAATAGAAAGTAGTCACTACTTGTCACAAGTATTAAGGATTTAGTTACTAATTATTATACTAATTATTCATTTAACACCATCACAAAAACAAAGAAATGAAACAAAACATACCCAGACTACTATGGACACAGACCCTAGCTTTTGAATAAAACCATAAAATTTATATATAGGATAGTTGTGCTTAATCCAAAGGGAAATATTCATAAGAACTTCATACAACCTAATAGGAAATATATCAAATTCATTGTCCATTAAAGATAAAAACATAATATGCCAATAAGGGAATTATACAGCTGATAAATGTACCCATTGATAATATATTTAATCAAATGTTAATTTCTGCCCTCATTCTTTCCTTAGATTTAACACATACTAGAAGATACAAGCTTGTTTTCATTATATTGTTAGAAAAATTGTTAAATACTTTCCTAGAGTTATAAGTAACCATTAAATGAGATGTTGCAATTTGAAACCTTAATCTATCTGGAATTATTTTAATTAATAATTATACAAAGAGATCACACAATCTTAGAAAACTAAGTTTGGTTAGTTCAACTTAAGATTTGAAATATGGACATTTGCAAAAGAAGCCACGATTACAATTCTTAGACAGCTGAGTCTAACCACCAAGAAGAAAGCAACAAATAAAATTTTTTAAGTACAAAAAAAAGGTGGCATCAGCTTTTGACTAATTCTATATTTATACTTTTCTAGGAAATAAGCTCTGGGTTTTTTGGGGGTTTTTTTGACACCTCAGCAAATGCAGAAGTAAGTTTTTGCTTTTCTGTTTTTTTGCAGTCAATCATACTCACTGGTGGCAACTGTGGTTTTCAACCCTGGCTACACATCAGAATCACTTATGAAAAGTTACTGATGCTTTTCACCACCCCAGGCCTGTTAAACCAGAATTTTCAAGGTTGGAGACTTACATTTTTCTAAAGTTTGAAAGGTGATTCTCACAAACAACAAGGGTAAAAAACCACTACATTGATTTTATTTACAGTTAGAATAAAGCAAAAAGGTAAATTCAGATCCCACAGAATCTTAGATTCAACATTCATTCAGCAATACATTTAAGGTCCTAACTATATGCCCAGCACTACCCAGCACTATATGCAAAACCCAGAGCTAGGTTCTCCATCCAGGCATTCTGACTACAGAGCACAGGTTTTTAATCACCCTACTACTGTCAGAACATGATTAATAAATCTGACAGTTAGTACGGTGACAATAAATATAAATAAATCAGAATGGTATTTTTCCTTTGAGGAGTTTATAGTCTAGTAGAAAGAAACAGATACATAAACAGGTAATTATAATACAGGAGCCTAATTTCTGTGGCAAAAGGAATTAGAGGGTACTATGGGAAAAGAGAGGAGAAACAGCAACTAGAGACTCAGATTTCCTAAAGGAGATAATATTTGGAATAAATGTTAACAGCAGTGAAATCCAGTCTCCATCCATAGGTTTAACTTTAAAAAATAACTCAGTTCAATAAGTATTTAAAAAGATCCCTCTTTACCACTTACCAATAGTAGCCTCAAGTTGCTGGAGTAGGCCCAAGTTACCTGAACAGAATTCTGGAGTCATATATACAATCCGATACTTGCCTCTGTAAAAACAAACAAAAGAAAAAGAAAAAAAACAGGAAAGAAAACATACCAATAATAAAGAAAATAGTCATCTCAATGAATTACAACTTAAAATCCTGGATAAATGTTTAAATAATACATTATGCCACTTATGAAAAACTAAATGAATGCTATATATGTGTGTGTCTACATAGTATTCACATATGTGTTATTTGATTTCTCTTCAATACATCAAAATAAAAAGCAATCATGCCTGTCAGGGAGTATTTAGCACTAAGGTGACATTAGAAGCCAGCAGTCTATTTCCCTTCAAACTCAAGTGCTTGAGGTAAACGATCAAGCCTATAATCAACCTTTCATGGTATTATCAGTCTACCAACATACCAGCCTCTTTCTCGAGAACTATAACCCACTATCCTCACTCCCCCATGATGAAACCCTCAGCATTCGTGTTTATTCTACATATTCTGCTCGCTTGCCAGGGATAGACTCGGTCCAAGTCATGCCAACTAATCTCTGTTCTAGAATCTGGAGGTCTGATCAAGAAAGAATCAGTCAGCCTCTGCAAGCAACAGGACCTGCAACAAAAGAAAGAAAGGAAAGGTAGGAAAGGAAAAAAGAAAGAGGAAAAAAGGAGTTGCAAAGCAGCCATCTTCTAATTTGCAACTAGAGAGAGGCAAAGAACACCTACCTCTTCAGAGAAAAAAACAGGAAGACATACAGAGACTACAGATAAAAGGAAAACCCTATTTTATTTACCATACCCATTTCCAGTCTCTTCCTTAAGGGCTGACTAATTTTTCAGTGGGTTCCATGACTATATGCCTAATAAAAAATTCAATATTCACTTAAGCTAGCTTGACTTCTAGTTTAACTTCTATTCTGGGCAGACAGAATCCTCATTAAGACAATACTTGTAAGAAAGGGTAGATCTAGGGCAAAATATTTAGAGTCTGTCATTCATTCTAGCAAACAAAGACCTAGGTCAAGTCAAATAAAATGAAACTCAATTTTCTATATGAAAAAACTTCATAATAGTCTATTCATACAACAAATATTTGAGTGTCTATTGCATGCTAAGCATTGTGCTTTCATTAGGAATCGATCAGCAGCAAAAGAGATATGTCTTTACCATCATGAAATTAGTATTTTAATTAACATATGAAACAGTATAAATGATAAACTGATATCAAACTGTCCAGGTTTGAATCTTAGTTCTACTTTTTACAAGGAAAATGATCTCAGGCAAGTTATTTAATTTTAGTGTGCCCCATTTTCTTTGGCATAAAACAGTGACAATAATTATCAAAACAGCTAATTCTTCAGGTATTTAGATTCAAGGTAAACCCAATTAAAATCCCAGTAGGCATTTTAGTTGAAATAATGATACTGAAATACTTATGGAAATACAAAGGACCTAGAATAGCCAAAACAACTTTGAAAGAACAAAACCGGAGCAACTGCACTATCTGATCTGAAGGCTTATTATAAAGCTATGGTAATGAAGACACCAATGAAGACAGACAAATAGATCCACAGAACAGAGAATTGAGAGTGTAGCAATAGACCCACATGTATGCAATTTATTTTTGACAAAGGTACAAAGGCAATTTAATATAAAAGGATAGTCTTCACCAAATGGAGCTAAAACAATCAGATATTCATATGTGAAAAATATAAAAATAAACTATAAATGATACTTCATACAACATACAAAATTTGCTAATAATGGATAATAAAACTAAATGTAAAACTTAAAACTATGAAACTTTTAGGAGAAAACATAAAAGGAAATCTTTGTGATGCAAAGATTTCTTAGATTAAATGTCAAAAGCAAAATCCATAAAAGAACAAATAGACAAAATGGACTTTATCAAAATGGAAAACAGCTGCTCTTCAAAAGAACTATGAAGAGAATGAAAAGTCATAAATTGGGAGAAAATGTTTGCAAAGCATATATCAAATAAAGGATTTGTATTCAGAATACAGAAAGGTCTATAAAAACTCAGTAAGGAAAGAAAACAAAGAACAGGCAAAAGACTTGAATAGACACTTCCTCAAAGAAGGTATACAGATGGCCAAAAAGCATATGAAAAGGTGCTCAACATAAGTAGTCATTGAGAAAAGCAAATTAAATACACAATGAGATTCTCCTAGAATTGCCAAATTAAAGATTGGCCGTACTAAGTGATAAAAGGTATGAGGAATAATTGGATCTCCCATGTAGTGCTGGTGGGAATGTAAATTGGTACAACCACTCTCAAAATGTTTGATAATTTCTTAAAAAGTTAAACATAAGTATTACAATATGACCCAGCAATGCCACTTCTAGGTATATACACAAGACCACAGAAAACATGTCCATAACAAAACTTGTACACAAATGTTCATGACACCATTATTCATAACAGCCAAAAAGTGGAAACTACCCAAATACTCATCACTGATGAATGGATAAACAAAATGTGGTATGCCCATACAATGGCATATCATTCAGTCATAAAAAGAAATGAACTACTGATAACATTATGCTAAGTGGAAGAAGCCAGATCCAGAAGGCCACATACTACATAAGTTCATTTACAGAAATATCCAGAATAGGCAAAGTGCAGAGACAGAAAGTAGGTTAATGGTTGGAAAGGGGTAGAAAAGAGGAAAATAAGGAGTGACTGTTTAATGAGTAAGGGAGTTCTTTTGAGAGTGATAAAAATGTTCTAGAATTAAATAGTGATGATGGGTATATAACATTACTAATATATAAAAGCCACCAGACTTTTGAAATGGTTAAAATGGTAAATGTTATGTTCTGTGAATTTTGCCTCAATTAGAAAAAACCTAAACATATTACATCCACCACATGATCCAGTCTTCCCATACCTAGGTATACATCAATGATAAGAAAACATATGTCCATACAAAATCTTACATATAAATATTCATGGCAGCTTCATTTGTAATAACTCAAACTGGAAACAATCAAAATGTCTATTAGGCGAATGGATAAACAACTGCAACATATCCATATAATGTAATCTACTCAACAGTAAAAGGAATGAACTATTAATAAATGTAACAACATGGATGAATCTCAAAATAATTATGCTGCATTATTTAAACCACATAAAAAAAAAGCACATATTATATGACTGATTCCTTTTACATACAATTTTAGAAAACACCAGGTAATCTAGTGATAAAAAGCAGAGTAGCAATTACCTTGTACCTGGGGTTAAAAAAAAAAAGGTAAACTTTGGGGATGAGGAATATGTTCATTATCAGGATTGTGGTGATAATTTTGTGGATGTACAAATATGTCAAAACTTATCAAATTACACATTTTCAGTATGTAAAATTTACTGTAAGTCAATTACACCTCAATAAAGGTGATTAAAATGTTTAGAAAAAAAGAAGATACATGTTCACAAAAAGACTTTTACAGGAATGTTTACTGCAGCTTTATTAATAATAGCCCAAAACTGGAAATAGCCTAGGTATTGATCATTAACGAAATGTAAAAAGTATGTTATATTCAAATAGTAAAATACCACTCAGATATATTTTTAAAACTAATGATACATGCAACAACATGGAGGAAGCTCAAAAACATTATACTGAATAAAAGAGGTCTTACACAAAAAAGCCCATATTGTGTGATTCCATTTATATGAAATCTTGGAAAAAAATCAGAACAGTGGTTTGCCTCAGGATGGAGGATGGAAGGACAGACTGGGAAGGGACATGAAGGAACTTTCTGGAGTGACAGTAATATTCTATATCTTATTTGAGGTTTGGTTTACATATTTATATGCATTTATCAAAACTCAGTAAATGCATATATGTTTTGTATATATTAATACACATAGGGTGACTGTTTAATGGGTATGAGAGTTGTTTTGGAGTGATGAAAATGTTATGGAATTAGAACATACATACATATGTACATATATATTAATATATATACACACACATTTTTGGTGTATCCAAAATGATATTCTTCTTAGGAATTACATCATGACAGAATTGGTAGGGCAACAGATCTAAAAATCCAGTCCCTGCTCAGCCACAAATTCATTGAGTGATTTTGGGCAAATTACTGGGCCTCAGTTTTCTCATCTATAAAATGAGACCTATCTAGATATTCTCAAAGTTCTCTTCTAAAACCAAAATTTTATAATTCCCTGGCTATGATGCTAATTCTTATACCCTGAGAACTGAGAATAATAGATTTCTGTAAGTCTGAAAGATTTAACAGTTCTGCAAATGTACTATAAAAAGAAAGTACATTTTTAAATCATGGACATACATTAAATACATACACTAAATAAAATTTTGTGTGTACAAAATTCTCTTACATACTGTAGACACGGGAACACATGATCGGAAATCATAAATCACTCACAATTTAATATCATTTAGGACGTTTTCTGACTGCGCTGATCCAAGAAAGCAAGCCGGAATGTTGGACATTCTGCGAGAAGAAAAACAAATACTCTGAAACCATGTACACACAACAAATATCACCTCCATTCCAAGTAAGAAGGAATAAATAAATATAATAATGTGCATTCCTCTTCTTTGCAATCTTATTTTTTTTTTGTAACTAAGTTGATAAACAAATTCCTTCAAGGACCCTATCAGAGGCAGGTTTTTAAAGTGTGTCTTTCAAAAAGACTGCAAGCTCAGGGCAGTGGAGGTTTGGGGAAATGATGTGAGACTGGTTAATGGGTATAAACATAGAGTTAGATCAAATAAATAAGTTCCAACGTTTGATAACCCAGTAGGATAACTATAGTTAACCACAATAGATTATATATTTCAAAATAACTAGAAGCGAAGATTTGAAATGCTCCCAACATAAAGAACTGACAAAGTTCGAGGTGTTGGATATCCTAAATGCCCTGATTTGATTATTACACATTTTATGCATGAATCAAAATACCACATGTCCCCAATAAATGTGTATGAATATTATGTTCTAACAACAACAACAAAAAGATAGCAAGTTCAGGTTGAAGAAGTTGGAAAGTTTTTCATAGATAAAAAATATACTTCCATGTATATACTTCATATCAAGCTAAAGAGGAAGGGTAACAGAAAGAGAAAAGAATTTTGGGATATTCAATGTAAGCTAGCATGAAGTAATAATGCTTTTTTAAAAAATTTTATCAGGCCTACCTGATAGCATTGAATTACAGAGAACTCAAGAAAGAAGATAGAGTCTCCCACTAAAGTATCACTTATTACCAACAGAGATAAAGCAACATTTGCAGACACGTTATTGTGAACTAGATTTTAACATACATGATAGATCTCATGTTCCATTCACAGAAGAAAAAAAGAGGGCAATGATAACATGACTTACTTAAGCTGGAGCACTTGGTCTTCCATCAAAGAAATAAGGGGGGAGATGACAAGGCCAATCTTGCCAACATAAACAGGTGGATACTGGAAACACAAACTCTTTCCATATCCTTGCAATAAAAATAACAAACTCAGAGAAATAAAAATAAGTCCTTGATACTTTGCTTTCTTTTTACAACGTATTTGTATGTTGGAATTGGCATTACTAATATGCTATTTCCCTGAAACCTAATTCATGCATAAATTTGAGCATATAGACTCTGTTTACACTCTTCTATATTTTATACCATTTGTATTTGTATTTTAAGAGTTTAATGAAAGATTAAGCATTTGAAACACTTTAAGTTTTATTTTTTAAAGGATTAGGTTATTTGCTTAAGTACAACTTACCAGTTGCCATGACAACAACATTATCTCTTCTTTCTTCCAATACTGAATGAATCACTTTCCACTGAACCCTTGAAGGTAAAATGCAAAAAGCTATTTTGTTTTACTAATAAGAAACCCAGGTACAAGTTAGAATCCACTTAACTTTTTCACTTCCATTAATAGAATTTCCTTCACATTTTTGAGCTTCACATATAAACAAGTACAAACCCTGAAACTTTAAAGCAAGGAACCCCATTTGATCGACTTTCCATTCAAGCCAATAACTAGGAGTTTCCATTTGGTATATGTATTAAATCTCCTTACATGTATCTAAAGTATAAAATAAATTCCAAGCTTCATACTAGATATCTAAAAAAATCAAAGCTTTAAAATAAATAAGAGAAATGCTCCAGAGACAAGGACTGACTGAAAAGGGAAATGAGCGAACTTTGGGAGCTGATAATAATGGTCTACACCTAAATAAGAATGTAGTTACACAAGTATACATATACTTAAGATTTTATTACCCTTTTATGCAAATTTTATATCAAAGAAAAAAACCGTAAGTAAGATTTAACTCCAGTTAATAATTTAAGGCTGAAGTCCTTAGGGGGAAGTGTAACAATGTCCTCAATTGACCCTGAGATGCATTTTTAAACTTCAGTGGATTAACAGATGGATAGAGAAATGGATATGTGATAAAGCAAGTATCGGAAAATGTTAATTGGTGATTTGAGGTGGTGGGTACACAGGCATTCACAGAAAAAAAAAATTCTTTCAATTTTACTACATCTTAGAAAACTTTCTTAAAATGTCAAGGGAAGGTGATCTTCTGGTGTGTTGAATCTTCTCTAAGTGCCAGTGATACAGGGTGCTCAGAAAAGTCATTCATTTGTACACCTATGTGCACTTTTCTGTATGTGGAACTTAAATTTAAACATTTTAATTAAAAGAAAAGAGGAAGGAAATACTTCAGTGGATTATATTTTAAATTCTCAGACTACAAAAAAATCCAGTCTGTAAGATTTTTACAAAAAAATCCAGCATGTAAGATTTTTACGTGTTTATTAATTTTACTCAAATTTATTTGTTCCTTATCTCATTCTTATTCATGTCACTTTTATCCTTATAAATGTGCCCCTTACATTAAATGTAAGTACATCTTGAATATGTTAAAATAACATTATTATTGTTACATTGTTATATAATGAAGTTCTATTCTATAGGCATGCTTTGGACACTATGATGCACAAAATAGATATAGAGACACTTATTTAATGAAAAACAAGTCAGCATTAAAGTAAAATTTATTTTTAAGTGTCTTTAAACCACAGAAACACTCAAAGAAAAACCTTTTTTCCTCACTTATAAAAACTTATGGAAATGAATTTTATATAAGTATTACTTTGAAATAATTTTACAGTCACTTATAGAAAATACAGTGTGGCATGTGTAATCATGTAACTATTGCGCTAAGTGGATGGGTTATTTGCTTTTTTTCCTGTGCAAAGAGAATACTAAATGTATGATTTAATTAACTGATATTATACTTACGGTTTAAAACTGGAATGGCCAAAGTAGGTCTTGAGGCAAGTAACTTGCATTGCATTGGGTTCTGGCAACAAACAGTCTTAAAATAAAATAAAATGGGCATTTATGTTCAAATAGAAACACACTAAAGGGAGAAAAAGGTTTATTTCATTGGGTTCTTTTAAAGAATATAGTGATAGCTACCATGGGTTACTGTTTTCTGTCTTAATTACAATCCAATTCTGTGTACCAGTCATGACTTCCGGTAAACACTCTGGCTACTACTAAGTATTAGAATTTTGCTGTGATTTACACTTTGCCAGCACTGTAAAAAACTGATGTTTTAGAATCAACTATACTTCCAAAATTTAACATTTAGAACAAACTATGGCAGGCAATATATCAAGTCCACATTTTATAATATAACCAACTTTTGATTAATGATAATTAGAAATTATATTAGTGTCACAACAAAAGTTCACAGATAAAAATAAAATCTTCATTTTAGTTACCTAAAACTAAATCTAGTTACACATAAATTTGGTTACCTAAATCTACTTTAGTTATCTAGATCTAACCTAATTGTGTAAATTTAGTTACCTAAATCTTTGATCAAAATTCTAACTGCACAGCACAATGGAGTTACATTAGCTCTAGCCAAATGACTTTCACTGTTCACCGTTAGGCTGAATGATTCATGAGTAGCCAAGAAAGGGCAAAACAAAGAATTAAGATAATTTATCACTAAACAAATTTTTACTTCATTATTTTACTCATTATTTTACTTCCCAGCATTAATAATTTTAAGTAGAAAACTAAACTGATTTGGAGAAATCATGTCTCTATTTAATACAAGAAAACAAAGGAAAAATCATTTTATCCACACAACACTACTTTTACTCTATTTTTATAAATAGAAAGAATGTGTTTTGTGGAAACAAAAGCACTAAAGGAATTTAATGGAAAGTTTATAGAATCCAATAATTAACTATGTCACAAAGTCCCTGACCTCCAAAACATTCAAAACGTGGTAACAGAGGTGAGTCATTTCAAACATATTTTAGTGCTTACCCTTATCTTCTTCTTCTTCTTCAATAGCTTCATTTTCATATTTTTCTTGCTCTTCAATAGCTTCATTTTCATCTTCATCTTCTTCAGTTGGAAGACCCAGATTTCTTTCCATTTCTAAGCACTGAGAATCAGTTGGTTCTGCCATGCCATTATTTAGGTTCTCTGAAAACTGAAAGTTTAAAAGAAATTTTAAAAGCAAAACCACTGACAGTGTCATATCTTTTTCACCAAACACAAAAGGAGTATTATTAACAGAGCCTACAATTTTGTTCAAAGCTGGCAGATGTGCAAGCAATGCCACAAAAGAACATGTGTGCTCCAGTTTAAATATGTATTCATGAATGGTTTATAAGGCACAGGGCCAAAGATGGAATAATTCCAGCATAAACAAGGTTCATTAATAGCATATAATGAACTGCCCCTGGGGAAAGCTATCATAAATTTTGATATGGGATAATTTTAAAGATTTTTTTCTTTATTGTTCTTCAATGTTTTCAATCCCCAAGTGGTAAATTTGGATTTTAATGTTATTTTTGTAATCAGTTTCTCTACCTCATGTTATCAGTCACATTCTATTTTAGTAAAGATAAGGCTTAAGCTATAAGCAAACAGTAAATGTGCTGGAATTATCAAAACAAACAAAAAATTCAAATAATTTTAGAAAAGGAATATTACAAATTTGAAATAGTTATTTAATTTTGGTTTGACAGTATCTGATTTTCTCCCCTAACTAAAGACTGTCTATTTCAAGAATGTTAGGATGTTTCACAATTGTTTCATCTGTAAAATTTTTTACTAAGGAGTGACAAAAAGACTTTATTAAACCACAGTTTTTATTTTCTCTTCTTAATAAACCTTTCATTTAATATTTTGACTTTAAAGGTTTTTTCAAAAAGTGTATTCATTTCAAGCCTGGAACAGAAAAAATAGTGACTCTTTTTGATTTTTAATTCAAGTCCACAAACACATTTACAAAGCATTTTTAAAATAGGGTTCTCTAATATGTGCATCCAAGTTGCCTTCTAAGAGATTCAATATGAATATAATGTTTGTAAAAGTCCGTAAGTATCCCATAAACAAATTACTTGAACAGTAACTCCTCAGAGAAATGGTTAGTCAATAAAGAAATAGGATTTAGTAATGATGTCCTACTACTAAAGTTAGATAATATTTAATAAACACTTACTAAATGCCAGGCTTTACACTAAGCTCTTCACAACCAACACCTTAAATAATTACTATAACTGTTAACCGAGTATCAAAAATGCTAAGAAACTTGCCAAAAGTCACACAGCTATTAATAATAACTGGAGATTGTGGGATTCAAATCCATATCTGAATTCAGAATCTACATTCTTAATCACTACCCACTACTCAGCTTCAAAACTAGGAATAAGGAAATTAGTCTCATTTAATAAAACAAAAAAAATCTCATCAACCTAAAGATGAGGACTAAAAAGTATACATAATGGTAAACTTGTGTTTTCCATTGTTTTTCATTTAATTTGGCTAAATTAGCTTTTCTTTCTTCTACATCTTTGATTCACAACATCTGACAAAGAAACTGGAGGTTGAGTGAGGAAGTAGAAAATATATAAATTATAAAGTACTATTTTCATCTTTGATAATAAACTGGAGTAAACCCAAACTATTTAAACCATTAGAAAATTGTATATGATATAAAATATCCATAGTAAATAATACTAAAGTAAAGATTACTGAATGTACAAAAGCAGAACTTCCAAATAAAAGAAGATATACATGGATCAGAAGAAAGGAAAGCCAACTTCAATACTTCAATAGTGAGAGCTGAATCACTACCCATATGCTAGGAAAAGATTAAAAGAAAGTGACACAAGAATATAAGAAAGGCCAGGTGCGGTGGCTCACACATATAATCCTAGTACTGTGAGCCAGCGAGGCTGGAGGATGGCTTGAGTTCAGGAGTTTGAGATAAGCCTGAGCAAGAGCAAGAGCTTGTCTCTACAAAAAAAAGTGAAAACTTAGCGGAGTGTGGTGGCACAAGTCTGTAGTCCCAGCTACCTGGGAGGCTGAGGCAGGAGAATTGCTTGAACCCAGGAGTTTCAGGTTGCAGTGAATTATGATAATGCCACTGCACTCTAGCCAGGGCAACAGACAGAGCAAGTGTCAAAAAAAAAAAAAAAAAAAGAGGAAGAAACAAATACATTGAAAAATTAGTATACTATTTATGAAACATTATTCATAGACTATATAAAGATACAAAGAAATACAAATTGGAAAACAGGAAATCTAATATGAAATCTAATGTACATAACTAGTTGCAATTCCATTGTGTGACCTGGTTTAGAATTAAGTAATATTTTATTTAAATATCCTCTAGAAAGAACCAGAAGTAACTTTTCCATAATTTTAAACATACCTTAAGCATCTCCACTTCTAAATCTTCATCACTTTCAATTACATGAGATGTATCCTTGGGAGCTAAAGGCTTTAAAAAACATACATATTTCAAAGATTAATTTCTAGTACTAGAGTCCATATCTTCTTTTCTGCAAAATAAAGCTCCTATGCACTCCTAGGTGCATAGGAGTAAATAAAGTAAATAAAGATACTCCTAGGTATCTTTACACAACTTCCTCTTCTCTAACAGATAAATATATAATACATATTTATATATTTATATGATAGGTAGTAGGAAAAAGGTAGGGAGGGATGAGCAAAGAAACAACCAAAAAGAAAGAGAGAAATATAGTTAGAAAGATAGAAATATAGTTAGAAAGGTGGGCAAGTTAGATAAACAGACTTAAAATAAAATTGCCTCTCTAAATGACAGTACAAAGTGACAAATTCAACTCTGGTTAAACAATGTCAAACTGCATCTCCCAAGACTTTTGAGTACAAGAACCTCTTCACAGTGTTGGAAGATTCTGTACAAAGCCAAGAACAGTAGTTCTTTTATATCCAGTGGTTTAAAAAAAATTACAGAAAACTACTATGACTGATTATAGTATCTTTAAATAAATCAGTATTTTACAAATAGCATCTACATATATTTGAAAAACAATGTCAGATATGCAATTCACTTAGTTTAATCCTGATGTTTGGATATGAGAAAATTTTACTATAATTTGGCAATCTCCAGGAAGCAAGTGCTCAACAGGATAAGAACCCACACAAAACAAACCCATACGAGTAATAGAAAAAGGACCCCTCAAAATGCCTAATATTTAATTGAAAGTAGCAAAAGAAAATATAACTTTAACCTGCAAAATTTGAGAAAAAAAAATTTTTAAATAAGTTTTTTACTAAGAGAGAAAAGTTCTTTTAATTTTTAAAGAGGTCTTTAATGAGCAATGGAAACAATGCTAATAATTAGTACACAAAAATAGCAACAATTGATATAAAAGATGTCAAATTATGAAATCTGAACCATAATTCTATAACCTTATATGAAACATATCACTTTAGTATATACCTAATAAGAAATTTCTAGAAAATTAAAGAGTAATGCAGATGTTAGCAAAAATATAATATTTCCCCAAAAGGGAATCTGCTTTATAAATGGTTGGTATGAGAAAATTTTGAAAACATTTTAAAAATAAAATGCATTTATATACTGACAGCAGTGATATCTAATATAGCTACCAAAACAGAGAATTTCTCAAATAGTAAAACTTCCATTGCCATTAGAAAAATGAAGGGAAAATAACTCTATTAAATGGCTTTCAAAATCTAATTTTTTAAAAAACCTTATTTATTGTAAGAGAATATATAAAATTCCAGAGAATATGGGCATCTTAAGTAATCTTTTAAGCAAATAAAAAATAAGTTAAAGAATTTAATTAAAAAAAATTTTTAAAGGCCAGGCACAATGTAGTTCATGCCTATGATCCGAACACTTTGGGAGGCCAAGGCAGGAGGATTGCTTAAGGCCAGGAGTTTGAGATGAGCCTGGGTAATATAGCAAGACCCCATCCCTACATTTAAAAAAAAAGAAAAAGTAAAAAGTAGCCAGGAGTGCAAAATAGCAACAAAGAAAATAAAGTACCTAGATATATTTAACTAGGAAGTAAAGACTCTACAGGAAGCTATGAACACTGAGAAAAATAGCAGAGGACGTCAACAGGTTGAAGAATATACCATGCTCATGGGTCGGCAGAATCAACATTGTTAAAATGTCCATACTACCCAAAGTGACCTACAGAGTCAAGGCAATCCATACTAAAATACCATCATCATTTTTCACAGATATAGAAAAAATAATTTTACGCTTCATATGGAACCAGAGAAGATCCCATATAGCAAAATCAATCCTAGGCAATAAAAACAAAATAAGGTGTAATTACCAGACTTCAAACTATACTACAAGGCTATAGAATTAAACAGCTTTGCACTGCACAAGAACAGGACATCGACCAGTGGAAAGAACAGAGAACCTAGATATAAAGCCATCAGGAATACATTTATCGAGTGTCAGCCGGGTGGGGGTGGGGAGGAGTGGGTATATAATATAACATAATGAGTGAGTGTGCAATGTTTGGGATGGTCACGCTGAAGCTCTGACTAGTGGGGGGGCATGGGCATATACGTAACATTAACATTGTACCCGATAATATGCTGAAAAACAAGTAGCCAGGAGTGGTATTGCACACTTCATTCTAGCTACAGGAGACTGAGCAGGAAGATCACTGATCCCAGAAGTCTGAGGCTGCAGGAGCCTATGACTGCACTACTGCACTCCGTCTGGGCACAGAGCAAGACCCTGTCTAAAAAAAAAAAAGAAAAGAAAATTATGAAAATAACGACTCTCCAGACACAGTAAAGGCTATGTAAACAGTTTATGAAAACCCTCTCACACTGAAATGTAAAGAAAAGTCTGTATAAGAAATAAACCAACCCACAATAAGTTTGGAAGAGTACACCACTAGTAGCAGAAAAGGATCCACAAAGGCAGAGATATCACTATGAAAAAGCATAAGAAATGATAAAATAGCAAATTACAACAAATTGCCTACTGACACTATAAAATCTTTCCACTATACAATGCTACTTATTGTACTAAGTCAGGAGCAGCAAACTATAGCTTGCAAGCCAAATAAGGCCCACTGTCTGTGTAGATAAAGTTTTACAGGAATACAGATAGGCACATTTGTTTACAATTGTCTATGGCTGTGTTCACACTACAACTGCGGACCTGGGTAGTTGGAAGAGAGATCGTATATTCCAGACCCTAAAATACTTACTATCTACCCCTTTACAGAAAAAAAGATAGCCAACCCTACTAATAACTGAAAAAAGTGTTTCCTCTTTATTTAGTACCTCAGCAGATTTGGAAGTAACATCACTATCATATTCTTCCTGAGCCTGCTGTTCCAACATTTGAAGTTCATATTCTGTAATATCTAACGACATTATACAAATTCTTTCCTTATTATCTTTCAATTCATTGCCTTCTATGCCATCTTCAAATCCATCTTCTTTTTGTTTCACTTCATTTCCAAGTACATTCTGTCCATCATGTTGAACTAAATTATCAAGTATTGTGTCTGACGTCTCTTCTTTAACGTCCGTAAAAATTTTATGTTCTCTCGTTTGTTTCTGTTGTACTCCACCAGCAGTTGAATCCTCCAATGATAATAAGTTAAAATTGCCGCTGGGCTTCAGTTCAGCCTCTGTGTTAGTAGAACCAAATATCATCTTCCTCAGTGAATACAGATTTTCTGAAATATCCTTTATTAGGTTAGAAACCCTAAAAAAAAAATTTAAGGTTAATTCAACTTTAATTGCATTAAGTGTAAGTTTTAAGGTTTTTTAATAAGTTAAAGTATTCTAAACTAACCATTGCATGAAAGTTGCTCTTCATTTCCAAATGCCCATATAGAATTATAGCTGGGAGGCTACTCTAGCACAGCTAGGCACTCTGCATCCAACAGTTGATTTGTGTGCTTATTAAAAGCCAATAGTGTTTGGCCCTAAATTTGTTTATGCCAACTATACTTTTTTTGTTGATTAATTAAATGTAAAGTAAATCAATGATACATGACCACAAAAACAAAAAAACTATTTTATTAAATTCTAATTTGAATACATGGAAAGACTTAGAAAACTTTTGTTTAAAAACTTATTTGATAAATCATGGTCAAAAGAACTATAAAAGCTGGGAAGAAAAATCATAAAAATTCCTACAACTCTGCACTCAGATTGCTTTTTAAAGCAGGCGTCCTCAAACTACGGCCCTCAGGCCACATGCCGCCCACCTAGGACATTTATTATGCCCACTGGGTGTTTTTGCCGCAGCTGACTGTCCTGCTTAGCAGCCAACTCGTCCCGGGCCCACAGTGCGCACTCTCCAACAGTCTGAGAGACAGTGAACTCGCCCCCTGTTTGAAATGTTTGAAAACCCCTGGCTTACAGTATCTTAATTTTTCACTCCATTTTAAAGAAACTAAAATTAGAAATTGTTGATGATACATTATGGGTGTGGTTTAAACAAGAAACACTCTGCAGAACTCTAAACAACAGGCCTATATATAATGAAAAAGCCTTCACATACACCAAAAGCTTGGGAACAAACATATGTTAATATTTTAAGTTAAAAGAAAATTTTTATGATCCCATTTTACCTTTTTTAATTCACTGATCAATTACTAGTCCCAACTGCAACACATAAATAGTGTTCGTGCTGTAAGTTGAAAATGATGCTGTTTTACATCTTTAAAAATCTCAAAACTGAACAGATATTTTTTGGAATGGAAGAAAAAAGACATCAGTAGGTAAATACAATAAGTGAGAAAATATGGATAAGACGCACATGAATAAATATGAACTGAATCCCTTAATTGCAGTTTGCTAATATATAACATTTTAACTAAGTAACTTTAAATGGCTATAATGAAACCTAGTTCTTTGAAATGAAAGACCAACTACTAGAGGGTAAAATAAGGCATAGTGTCTTGTCTTTTTGTTGTAGAGTTTATTAAAGCAATGTTTAAGTATTTCATAAAAGCGGAAATTAAAAGGAGTAAAGGGAGTATGATAAGCAGAGAGACATGTTTTACTACTTAATTAGTGCTTTTGTTTAAGTATTCTAATATTTCTCTATTAAAATCAATGCCTAATAAAATTTGACATGCCTTTAAAATTTTTATATTAATGACTCAAGTAAAAATTTGATTTCTCATGGAAATAAACGACAAAAGTTCTGAGTTGTTTCATGAGTTATTTCCACATGAAAGCAGCATCATTAACAGCACTCGAAAGCTGGGTCAAGCTTAAGCTGACAAAGTCTACGATAACACAAAATCAAGACCAAATAAATTCAAAACGAAAACTCATTTCAACATTCAAAATCCTTTAAATCTCACAAAGAACATTTAGCATTATACACATCTATTCAATATAAGAACTACATGTACATAGTAGGAAAGATATGTGACACATTTTAATTGTTAAATGCACAGGGATGCTGTAACATACACACTAACAGCAGTGGCACAGACCAACTGACAGGAGTGTATGGGCTCATTTATCCAGCACTAGCATCAAAGATTACATGTTTCATGTAAGCAACTAACACTTACTCTAATAAATACCAAAGGCTGACCTGCTTCTCAGTGTACTTTTTCCTGCTTTTTTAGGATTGTTATTACGCATATTAGTAGCCTACAAGCAGACTCAGCAAGCACCCAGCAGAATGTCAAGTACATAACAGCAATACAAGACATATATTCAATTTAAATCAATGACTAAGCAGTACTACACAATACCAATACCTTCAGGGTCCACTGAAGCATAAAACTGTTCCCTTCTGGAACAAATCTTAAACTGCCCTACTTCAAGAGTTCTTAGTTCTAATTTTTATAGTTTTGCCATTCTTTCACAGATTGCCAGCTGTCACTTCAGGCTGGTATCATGTGCATACTAGTCCTTGTTCACACCATTTTTTTTTTTCAGACAAGGTCTTGCTCTGTTGCCTAGGCTGGAGTACAGTGGTGTGATTACATTCACTGCAACCTCGAACTCCTGGGTTCAATCAATCCTCCCACCTCAGCCTCCCAATTAAAAGTGTACTTCACCATGCCTGGATAATATATTTTAGAGACAGGGTCTTACTATGTTGGTCAGGCTGGTCTACAACTCCTGGCCTCAAGCAATCCTCCTGCCTCAGCTTCCCAAAGCACTGGGATTACAGATATGAGCCCCTATGGCTGGCTCATTTTTCATTTTAACTAGATATCCACGCTCATCAAACTATATCTATAAACAAAAAGCAAAAATGTCTGAATGTCGCCTCATTTCATTCTGGAAATGCAGAAAATGAGCTTGAATACATGCTTATAAAATGTATTTTGAGGCCGGGCACGGTGGCTCACGCATGAAATCCTAGCACTCTGGGAGGCTGAGGCGGGAGGATCGCTCAAGGTCAGGAGTTCGAAACCAGCCGAGCAAGAGCGAGCCCATCTCTACTAAAAATAGAAAGAAATTAATTGGTCAACTAAAAATATATATAGAAAAAATTAGCCAGGCATGGTGGCGCATGCCTGTAGTCCCAGATACTTGGGAGCCTGAGGCAGAAGGATCGCTTAAGCCCAGGAGTCTGAGGTTACTGTCAGCTAGGCTGATGCCACAGCACTCTATCCCGGGTGACACAGTGAGACTCTGTCTCAAAAAAAAAGAAAAGAAAAAAAATGCATTTTGACTGCTCAGAGGCCTTTTTTTTGTCCCCTCCTCATTCTGAGGTATAATCTAGATAAATTAGGTATTCCTGTAGACTTGTTACAAATAACATAAGAGATTTACCTAGTTCTTATTTTGGCACTAACACTTTACAAGACCCCTGTATTTCCCATTCTCAAGTTTTAAGAAAACCTTTTAGTTTTGATAGGTGAAAATTGAGTTGGGTCATTCTTGTCATACCCAACTAAATCAGAGTCAAGGGGCCAGGGGGAAAACACAAAGGGCACATAACAGTGCTCTAAGAATGTCATTTTCTGCCAGCCTGGCTGCTGAAACTGCCTATAGTAACCCAAAACCAGTTTTATCTAACAGCTACTGCAACAAACTGCTTCAAACTCTTAAGACTAGTTTTACCCACTGCAGTCAATCGGAGCTTTCCCCAAAACTTTACTAGTGTCAGTGAACTCTTTCAGAACAAAACATAACATTTTTCCTTTTTATAAAACCTCCAAACTTCTCTTTATTTTTGGACATATCAAAGACCACCTATTCTGTGTGTATGCCCGAAACTGCAATTCTTTCTTCCCAAATAAAATGTTTTAAATTTAGAAAGTTATTTCTATAATTTAATTGGCCTTGATAAATACTATGAAGCAAAGCATTAAGCATATGTAATTTACATCCAGTAGATACTTTAATTGCCAGTGTAAAAATCTAAAATGCATGTAAAAATCACATAAAAGGTGATTTTGCTAATTTCATGGAGGGAAAATGTAAAAATGAGTAAGAAGTGGATTTACTGGAATCCTTCCCCATTTGAAAGTTATATCTTTCTTCAGAAATTCTCAAAGTTACATAAAAACTACTAAAATTTCTAGGGGGAAAAATGACAGTGAAAGAGCTAAATTTCTATGTAATATTTTTAAATTTCTCCAACAAAATCTATCACAAATCTCATCCCAAAAAACAACCAAAAAACATTGTACTTTTTCAGGATCAGAATTATTTCTATTCCAACTAAGGGCTTCACATTTCTACAAAGTATTTTCTGGCTCAAAATTATATTATCACATTGCAATTGTTCACTGTTCAAGAGCATTCCTGCTTTTAGAGTTTTAACAAGGAAGTCATTCAGCAATTAAGGCCAGGGCAAGGTCTGGTTCCAAAAACAGTTAGCTACATAGCACCTGTAGTCAAAGGTCAATTAATCTGTATAAAACACTTAATCCAAATATCTTAAGTTACCTAATGCTTTCGCTATAAAATAATCTTTAAAATCTGAATGCCTTTTGTTCTAATAGTCTACTAATTAGGTAGAATTCTTAAATAATAACCTAAAATATGAAGCTACTAAGCATAAAAGTTGCTTTTATTTATAGATTTCGAGTGACCAAATTGTAAATGTAATTAAATGCAAGAGGCTCATAAACAGAAAATGATAAATCTGAAAAATATTTTCTGTAAAGGGTACTTATTTTGCTTTAACAAAAATATAGATATGATTTCAAAAAGTTTAATATAAGCACAATTTATATTTGTTTCATAAAACATCCTACAAAGCAGACTGAAAAGCCTTAAACCCTTAAACCTTTGGATTCATTATTTAACAACTGGAAAGATATTTCTCAAATGTAGACATCAGTCTGTGTGCATGTATGTAGTCAAGCAAATGTGTAAGAGTCTACCTTAATGAATAGTAATTCTTCATATATAGGAAAATGCAGTACAAACAAGCAATTGATAAAAACAGATAATATTTAACCTCTGTGGATGTTCCAATTTTATGAAAGTGTCAGGAAGATGTGTAGCCAGATCCATCGCTTCCTCAGAGATTGAAGTCAATTGTTTCTTCATGTCACTAGGTAGGATTTCCTCCACTGAGGGAGAAAAATCAATCTTAATTTTCAAACCACAAAACAGAGATATTCATTTAACCACTTCATTAAATAGCATTAGGGCTCAGATTTTCATTTTCTTTCCTTAAATGAACTGCAACAAAAACACTTCCTTATACAATCTCCAAATCACCTCAGTCACTTTACATCCCTTTCAAATATTTGCTGTTTAAACTTAAAAATTCCAAATGATCAGCATTCAAAGATATTATAACCCAGTCGTTACTGACCCAGGCAAAAGGTAGAAATGAGAATCTGAACCCATCTGCATTATTTCACAGTCAGAAATCAATATAACACACGTGGAGTGCCACTTAATAATACAGTTTGGTAAACATAACCTCATCTAACATAACAGTTATTCCGTACTGCCCTTGTTCGTTACCAGTCATCACCAAAACAAAATGCCAGCTTTTCTAATCAGTGATCACCTTCAAAGTTCTCAACTTCATTCTGCCCGGTACTTCATTTTCCATCAATAGCACAAAACCTGCCCTACTTTCCCAAACCTTTCCCCCACTCAGAATTTTGTCATCACCATTCTCTTATCTGTCAAAAAGTCCAGCTCCTATGAAGCATAAGATACAGGAATATATAACTTGCTATTGCTGATCACTACAGTTATCTTGTGATCTCAAAATCACATCCTTTCCTTCACTGAAGATTGTTTATTGAAGAACCAGTTCATTAACTGTCTTTCTCTCCACTGCTACTCCCGTGACCATTCCTAGTGAATTCAACATCTACAGAGATGCTGCACCTGAAATTGTGGCCTTTTCAGTTCCTTGACTCCTCTATTTCCAACAATCTTTACCTCAACTGACCTCAGCCACCCAATTCTATACTCATACACTTGACCTTGTAACTGTCAATAAAATCACGTCTTCCAAACTTCAATTGTAAGCCTTCTACCCTCTGGACACCAGAATGCCTATCTTTCTTTCCACCATGCTTTCCCCAACAATTCCTTGACACTTTTGGAACCAAATCCATTAATGCCACCACCTTTTCCTTCCCCGTTATGCTCCCCACTCCACCCATGGCACACATTCTTTCTTACCCACGTCACAGTAATCATCCCTTGGTATATACAGATTCTCAAGTCTTTGGGTCTTTCTTTCCTTGTGGTACTTACCTGGCAAAACCCCCTGCTCTGACTAAAACCCAGCCTTTTTATCTAATTTATCCCTACACACAGATTAATGTTATTGAAAATAAAATGCAACTATGATTACTCATTTCATTTTAAATTCATGACACAGATCTCAAAACTTTTTCTTCCCATGGTTTCTGAACACCACAACACACCTCCTGTACTTCCTCCTTCATTAGTGCCTCTTCTCTGTCCTCTTTGATGTCTTCTCATCTTCCTAACCTCTAAACACTGGTGTAACCCTGATGTCAACACCTCGTCTGTTCTTTATTTCATTCACTACCTATTTTATCCCATCAAGTTTCACCACCCTAACTTCCCTCTGTGTGCTTGTGATTGCCAAAGATACATCTCCAACCTCAACCTTTCCCCTGAACTCCAGAATCACATTTCCAACTAATATATATTCTTGGGTATCAATAATCATCTATAAATAGTTTGTCCGACACTGAAATCTAAACCTGTTCTTCCCATAATCTTTCCACTATGACTGACCCTTCCATTCATCAATTGATCCAACCAAAATATCTAATTGTTCTACCAGTCTCTATCTCACCCCTTACAGAGAATTCATCAGCAATCCTTCACAATATGTACCTTCGAAATGTCTACAGAATCAACCACTTCCCAACAACTCTGTTGCTAACTAGTCTAATCCAAACTAAAGCCAGTCTAACAGAGAAGGGGGGAGGGAAACCAACCACCTCCTGTTATCATTCTACAACAACAAAAGCCCAAGCCACTTATCCTCAATATCCACACTTCTTTCTTTCATGGTGTGCCCTTTCCTCTCTTGGAAAGTAAAATAAACTTTTTGCTTCAAACCAATCCTAATCTTTGAGTCAAAAATTCTTTTTCTTAGCCTGTAGTACGAGCTTCCCCTACAACACGAACAATTATCATTTCTTGCCTGGACTATTGCAATAGCCTCCTAACTCCCTGTCTAAACACTTGCACTCCTACAGCTGCCAGAAAAATCCTTTTAAAATAAAATTTTAATCATGTCCTTCTTCTGTTCCACACCCTCTAAGGGTTTCCCATCATCATATTTATTTTCATTAATAAGACATGAAGTCAGATTCACAGCTTACAAGGCCCTCAATGATCTGGCCCAAGCTACTTTTCTAGCTTCATTTCCTACCACTCTTACCCTTACTCATTTTGCTTCCGCTATGCTCACTGTTCCGCAAACAAGGCAAGCAATCGCCCTCAGAGGCTTTACACTTTCTTTCTTCTAAGCCTGCTGTGCTCTTCCTTCAGATATCCACATGGCTTGCTCCCGGACTTCAGTCAAATGCAACAAAGGGGCTTGGTCTGTTTTGCTCGGTGAATTTTCCCCAGCAACTGTAACAGTGCCTGACACATAATAAGCACTCAACAAATATGTGTTGTATGAATCAATAAATATTCCCTTTCCAAACAAGGCTTCTAAAAAGTAAGTTTGTACATGCTTTAGTTGTTTCTAAAACAATCAAAACAAGCTTCTAAGAAAAAGTTGTTTTCAAGCCAGGCACAGTAGCACACACCTGTTATCCTAGCTACCTGGGAAGATCACTTGAGGCCAGGAATTTAAGGCCAGTCTGGGCAACACAGTGAGACCCCATAGTGAGACCTCTGTTTTCACATATCTTAGATCTAAATTATTCCTCTCTTCACGTTGATATGATTTCCACCCACATCATTCTCTTCCTGTGGTTATAGTACCTTCATATTACCAATGCCTGTGGACCCTTTTCTGTTTTAACAACACATGCCCCAAATGACCTTCACTCCTCAAAACGCTCGTCACCCAGTACACCAAAGCTACTGTGTAAAAGGTTACAAATGATTCTCACATTGCCAAATCTAATGATTAATTCTAAGTCCTCAGTTTCTCAAACTCTTAGAATTTAAAACAGTTGATAACATCCTACTTAAAACATGTTCTTCACTTTGTTTTCTGCACGCCACACTTCCTAATTTTCTTTTATGCCTGTGGCAACTCCTTTGGTGTCCCCTCCTCCATACAAACATTAAACACTAAGAGTTACTCAGGACTCTAAGTCTCAACTCTGTGTTCTCTAACTCAGATTGTCCTCTGAGTTACAGCCTATATAATCTAGGTGTCTACTGACCACCTCACTTTGCTATCTTACAGGTTTCCCTCATTCAATGTACCTAAAATCAACTGTATGACTTACCCATCACCAAATCTTGCTCTTCCTGGTCAATGTTTTTCATCCCTGTTGCTCATGCCAACTACACAAGAATGATCCTTGACACAAGTGTCTCATCACTACCACAAATTCTGTTGATTCCACTGCTCTATGAAATGCATTTTGAATCTATCCACTTCTCTCCATCCTCACTACAAATAACCAATTCCAGTTGCCATTACCTCTCCCTTGGATCATTGTTATATAGCCTCCCAAAAGGTCTTAACACTGTGACTCTTGCCCTCCTGCAATCCATTTTCTACTCTATAATCTGAGTTAGTATTTTTTAAATATAATTCGCTTCACTCCTCTGTTTAAAACCCTCAATAGCTTCAATTGCTCTTAGGAGAAGATGTAAACTCCTTAACACGGCTCATCTGCTTTCCTTTTTCTGCTTTTCCATCACTTGCCTTGTCATAGTGAATGGTTCACTAGACTGAACTCCTTTCCAACTGCCTATAGATACCATGACCTCTTACCTCTGAAACTTTGCACCTACTGTTTCCTACGCCTATGACACTTTTCCTCCACTCTTCAGCTAGCTAACTCCTGCTCTTATTTCAGATCTCACCTTAAACAGCACTTTCTCCAGGAAATATTCTCACATACCTACGATAAGCACTGGATGCCTCTCCTATGTGCTAACTACAGCACCTTGCTTTCTCATGACAATTCTGCAATTGCTTTTTTCATTCATCTATATCCTCCACAAAACTGTAGGTCCCTCAGGAAACAGATCATGCCTGTCTTGTTCACTACTGTATCTCCAAATCATAAAGTGCTCAATAATATTTAATAAATGAATAAATGTATATTTAACTACTATATCATTTAGTGTTTATTAGCTACCATTTAGGAATAAATCAATATTTTAATAGTGAGAAATAATGTGCAAATATCCTTTTATTTTCTTATGTTCTAATCTACTTTTTATCCTTTAAAAACTTTTGTTTAATGCAGCCTTATAATAAAAACCAAAAGAGGGCTGTGGTCATTTGAAAAAATCATCCACATATACACCAGGGATATTAGAGAATAATGAGGCTGATATCTGTGGCTGAATAACAGAGAGAGAGCAAGGAAGGAAAAAAAGGTGGTAATCTTAGTTACAGTTCATTGGGATCTGAGTCAAGTTACTTCACTTCAGATGTCACAATATGCTCACACAAATAATAAAGCAAAAAAAGTGAGGGTCAAAGAATGTAGATTACAACAAGAGGCACACAGATATCAGGACTTCTAATACTGACTTATTAATGTATGTTACTTCAATGAAAAATATCTTAAACATTCCTTGGAAGCATTTTCATCAGAGACAAAATTTTAAGTGTAACCTATAAGCAATTCTGCAAACTATAAAATCAGAAAATCAGAAATCCCTCTGTTGAATTTTAGTTCTATAAGAAGTTAAATAAGTTCAGGTATACTGTTTTCCAAATAAGCTTAAAAATATATATCATCCATCTCAGTTAATTAAGATATAGTCATCGCTCTATCTCCTTGAGGGAATTATCCCAGGACCCCTACGGATAACAAATCCATAGATGCTCAAGTCCCTAATATTAAATGACATAGTATTTGCATATATCCTGTGCACATCCTCCTGTATACTTTAAATCATCTCTAGATTATTTATAACACCTAATAAAATGCCTAAACATCACTTCATTCACATGGATTCAATGTAGCACACAGGACACAAAAAATTCATGTTCTGCTTTTTGGAACTCTGTGAAATTTTTTTTCAGAATATTTTTGATCCAGGGTTGATTGAATCCACAGATACAGAACTCACAGATATGGAAGGCGGACTCTAATTTCTAGCTATAATACCTTTGGCTACAAAGAATCAGCAGTCACTCATCAAAAGTGTCTCTCCATCATGTGTCAGCATATTGGCTAAGATCAAGTGTGCAAGTGGCTCTCCAGGGAGAGGATGGGGATATGAGGAATCTTCTACCCTAACATGTAACAAACGAGGGTCTACAACAGAGGCCATGAATCCCTTCTCAACGACAATTAAAAGGGTATTATATAATTTTATATGAGGGCATTATGCTATATTTTAAAGTGTATTTAACAAAATCATTAACATCTTAACATGTTAATTAACATCTCGACAAATACTGTTATTTAAAATCTCCAAAAGGTAACTAAATCAATAGTAATGACTTTATGCATATGAATACAGGTGCTTTGAATATTTTGTCCCTTTTAGTGCTCACAACTATTCTATGAAACGGATATTATGCTATTATTCACATCCCAAATATGGTGATATTTGGGACAGGTCTATACCAGGTCACATAGCTGGGATTCCACTACTGGTCTATGTAACACAAAAGCTTGTGCTCATCCACTCCAGTAAGTGGCTCTGTCTGGTATCACTAATCTATCAAAACATCTAAAAAACACAGTGAAGTTGAATAAAGTGGCTATCTGTTTTAGAGAAAAATAGCATAGAAAATTTAAAAATTTAAGCCAGTACACGGTAAAGCATCTTATATATTTTACAGAACTATATATAAAGCATTTTAAACATTTACAGCAAGGATGTACAATCTCCAGACTGAGAGAAAGCTCCTTGCATCATTAATGCTATCAAAGCCCCAAAGCCTCAACTCTAGAAGTCCATCGAATAGTAATGCTACAAAGTAAAAGTAGTAAGTTCTGCTTTGCCACAAGTGACATGCCTGAAACCCTAATCTTCGGCCCTGATGGATCTCACCCTAATGTCTACACTGCTCAGATATTCAAGAAGCTATAATACTAAACACTTTGTAAATATGTGAATATTTTCTTTTTGGAGATAAACCTGACAAAAGAGCAAATTCACATTTTCCCTTTTATTTTTAGATCATAACATACCTTTATTTATGGCAAACATTTGTGTGGCATCACCCAAAATTTCTAATTTTCGATAAATGATGAGACCAGCCTGTAAATAAACAGAAAAATAAAAAGAACATACTACAGATAACCAAAATAAAACTATATGTCTTATCTATAAAAAAAATCAAAGAGAATGATTTCCAAAGCATCCAAAACACTGAATTTAAACTATTATGTTACACAAAGGTCTGTATGACTTCACTTATTCACTACACCAACTGTGAGAATGGAGAAAGTAAACCATCTAAGCCTTAAAAGAAAAGTTTAAGTTTTCACTGTTTTTAATACCCAATGTTATAAGCAGGTACCCAAATCAAATAACTTATAAATGGAATCTAACAGAATACAATCTGTTTTGACTACATCTACTGTCCTCTATTCATTAAATCAGCTGAGAATGTTAGTCAGTATATGAATAGCATTCCTTCTAAGTACTTTCAATAGGAATAATCACATCACATTGATTTTTCATGAGGAACAATGCTACAGAACTTATGCTAGTTCTCAACAAGTTTTATAATTTTTTTTAAAGGAAAATTATCATCTTATTTCCCTAGCAAAAGTGAGTTTTTTTCTGGTTGCAAATCAAAGGAGTTTCTATTCCTAAAAATAGATGTAAAAAGGAAAACCAGATAGTCATCAACAACAAAAGTATGAATTAGGGGAAAGGAAATTCACTGTGGGATAAAATATATTTCTCTTTAAAAAAAATACAATAGTGCTATACATAAAAATAAACCCAGATTTCTCTGTGTACAAATATGTAAATGTGAAAATAGATGTAATGGCAGCAGCAAGATAAATTTGGAGGCAATTTTTCTTAATTTTTTCCACATTTTAAATATAAATATTAATATGAAAAATAAGGCCAGTTTCAATATAGAAACTATTTGGTACCTGAAATTGCTTATATATCATCAATACTATTTGTGCTTGCTCAGCCTGGGCTAATATTATTAGCCTTTCGTGTTTTCAACAAGTTCACTTTTTTTTTTTTTTTGAAACAGAGTCTCACTCTGTTGCCCAGGCTAAAGTGAGTGCCGTGGCGTCAGCCTAGCTCACAGCAACCTCAAACTCCTGGGCTTAAGCGATCCTTCTGCCTCAGCCTCCCGAGTAGCTGGGACTACAGGCATGCGCCACCATGCCCAGCTAATTTTTTCTATATATTAGTTGGGTAATTAATTTCTTTCTATATATAGTAGAGACAGGGTCTCGCTCTTGCTCAGGCTAGTTTCGAACTCCTGACCTCGAGCAATCCGCCCCTCGGCCTCCCAGAGAGCTAGGATTACAGGCGTGAGCCACCACGCCCGGCCCAAGTTCACATTTTTTTTACTTACAAATTGAACATTATTTTGGCTTCATGACAATGAAAATAACTAGCATTGAAAAATCTGTTGACTGGTACTTGCTAATTAATGTTAAGAATTAGCGGTTTCACTAAATGTCTTCCTAAGCATTTTTCAATGCCAAACTGATACAAAATATTTTAGTTGAGTTTGTGCCACTACTATAATAGAATTTTTCTAAAGTAATTTATGATAAAGTTAAAAATACATCCCAATCTAAAGATGTTTAAATACATACATAAGCATCAGTGGCTGCATACAGTTTCTGGTCTTTAGAGAGGGGAAAATTACTCCAATCACTACAGCGGATAGACTTATCTTTCAAAAGCTGTTTGCCCAACAGGTGTTTAACCAGACCATTGAGGCTCCAGGTCTCTCTACATTTCAGCTAGAAGTAAAGAAAAATCAACACAGCAATAATTATTTCCTATTTTCAGATACTCCTAAATACCACCAATGACCATGTCACAAATAAAAATTAGAAAATGTTATATCAAAATACAACCTAGAGATAGGTCTCAATAAACTTCTCGGTGTCATCTGTCATCCACATTATATGAATTTAATTCTGGAACTTTCCTAATTTAGGTATTAAAATTCTTGAATCTTAAAAGTATTATTCATGGAAAAATGTTGAATAGGTTAGTAGGCTTTCTACTTCCCAGCCAAATGGATATTTGGCTAAATATAAGAATTTAATTTAATGACATCATTAATAAAATATGTGAAATCTGGGCAATGGAATTAATGGTCAAACTTTCACTAAGAGCATTAAACCATAGGAGCTGCATCATGCTCTCCCTTAAAAAAAAAAGAAAGAAACTTACTGGTACACATGGATTAAAAGGATAAATTTAAAACAAAATATTTAAATTTGCAAATACTGGAAAATAGTGAAATAGTAGCAAGAATTAGGGGGGAGGGAGAAAGAACGCTTACTTAAAGAAACCATATGCCAAAACAATGGATTAGAACTTAAGATTTCATCATAGAACATTCACTCAGAACTTCTTCATTGCTATAAAAACATAAAGCTCAAATTGTTTTTTCATAAAAATCTAACATTTGGATAGAAGGCACACTGTGTGACACACAAAATCATCTTCTTTATGAAGATAATGTATATATTACATCTACCTTTTTATTGGCAACATCTGTCAACTCCACAAAACTCTTCAATTTGATGTCAAAATCACGTAGAAGTTTCCACTGATCTCCTTCAATTCCTACACCTGCTTTTTTAATTGCTTCATTTTCAAGCAAATTTTTTAATCCCTGGGGGAAAACTGTAACATTTTATTGTTATTTCCATAAATTCTGTGAAGTATGATGGATTTACTTTCTACCTGTTACAAATGCCATGTTTATGTTTAAATTTGTCTTTATGTTAAGTGTAAATTCAGAAACACATTCACCTTGAGTATTTCTTTTCTTACCAAGAACAAAATAATCCTGATTGATAAATGATAAGAAAAAAACAACTAGTTTGAAAGCCACCTCTGTTAGTATGAGCAGCATATTCCTGATCATTTAACCCTTCTAAACTTCAGTTCTCCCTCCTTTAAAACAAGAAAAATATCAATACTCATGGGAATGTTGTGAAAATTAAACAAAGGATGTGGGTGAATCGGGTAGAACGTAACTACTTAAATAAATATAGGATAAAGAGAGAAGTGCCAGCTAATGAAAGAGCTTAATTTTATAGGGATAAAGCTGACGTATACAAGTATCAGCCATATAAAAATGCAACAAAGAGATACCAACCTGACGCAGCAGAAACGTGAAACAAGTAACATTTGCTCTCAGACACACACAACTGAATTAGTGCAATTCTGCCAAGTTTCCCTTTATTGTATACTGGTGGCCATTCCAGGTCAAATCCTACCACATCTCCATCAGATAGACTCGTGCTAAGAGGGGAAACACAGTATAAATTAAATACATTAAAATTGTGAACTTCTGCATGAAAAGACATCATCCAAAAATCTTCTACCACAGACCGGTAGAAGATATCTGTGATACATACAACTGATAATGAACAGCCAGAATATATTTTAAATTCCTTAAAAAATAAGAAAAGACAAATAATCTAAAAAAAAAAATGGAGAAAAACAGGAACAGGTAATTCCCAAAGTAAATCCAAATGGCCAATAAATCCAAATAAATATGTGAAAACACTTAATTCTCACTAGAAATGGGAGAAATGCAAATTACACAATTCCACATCTATCTCGCCAGCAAAAATCAAAGTTTCACAGTATCGAGTTCTGAGAAGGATTTCTATCAGTGGGACTGCTCATTACTGGTGAACATATAAATTGATAAAATCCATATAAATTAGAAAAAAACTTTAACAAAGATAATATCTAGTTGAAAATGCATAAACACTATGACCTGGCAAGTTTTTCTCAGAAGTATATGAAACGTCCATATGTCTACAAAGAGACAGACATGCTTAAGAATATTCAAGGCAACACTGCTCCTACTGGCAAAAAATTGTAAATAAATGAAATCTCCATCAACAAGAGAATGGACCAAATACAGCATAGTGAAACGGTAGATTATCATATAAAATTTAAAATGGACCAAGCACAGTAGATATTGCCTGTAATCCTAGCACTTTGGGAGGCCAAGGCGGGAGGATTACTTGAGGCCAGGAATTCGAGGCTAGCCTGGGCAACATAGCAAGACTCTGTCTCTACAAAACATAAGAAAAAAGAAAATTAGTTGGGCATGGAGCCACACACGCCTGTAGTGCTAGCTATTCAAGGCTGAGCCAGGAGGATCGCTGGAGCCTAGGAATTTGATCATGTCATTGCACTCTAGCCTGGGTGACAAGGTGAGACCCTGTCTCAAAAAAAAAAAAAAAAAAGTTAAAATGGAACAAGATCAACAAGGAAAATTATGAAAAACATAATATGCAGAGTACACATATATTTGATGGCATTTTTAAGTTTTTAAATGGGCAAAATAATATAACATTTTAGGATATGCAATTATGAAGTAATATTATAAACAACATGGGAGAGAATGCTAAGCACTCAATTCATAATAGAGGTTATCTTAGACGGGCACAGAGGAAGAATCAGAAAGGACATACATGGGGTTTCAGCTGTATTTTATTATTTCATTTCTTAATAAAGAGTCAAGGAAAATGAATACTAAGATTTGATAAAGGTGGGAGGAATATGTATTTGTTATATTGTTATCTGTTATTGTTTATATTTGCCCATTTCACAATTTTCAAAAAACTGAAAACACATTTAAAAAATAAAAGAAACTCAGCTCTTTACAAGATGGAATAACAGGGACCAGACTTACCCTTCCACCATAAAGTAGCAGCAAACTGGACAAAATATGTAAAACAACTGTTTTCAGACACTAGACGATAGGCACCACAAGACCATGATCTCCAAGGGAAGGGAAACCAAAGGTGAGTCTTACAGTTGCCCCAGCTTTCTGCCCAGAACACACTGCAAACAACAGGGAATTTGTACCTGCAGAAGCTGAGGAGCTGGAACTTGTGGGGCAGAGTTCTGGAGAGGATAGAACTAGGGCAGGGAAAGAGCTCCAGAAATCTTCACAGGGCTCTCCTTCGGTCTTTGTAGAATACCCAGGTATGCATGCATAGATAGACTTAAACTATGAGACTGGGCAAACAGCCATAAGCTGAACAATTCTCAGGGCTTACTCAAAGGCAAGAGGAATTAAAGTTCTGAAAAGTCAGGGCAGAGAACCTTGTTGATCATCCGGGATAGTCAGCAAGGACTCCCTCCAGAAGGGTCGCACCTTATTATATAGCTAAACTTAGAGTAAAGGCAACTGTAGACTTGCCCTAAGAAACTGTTAAAAACAACCCCCAAAATATAAACTTGGTCTTCAACTAACTAGCTGTCTGACAAATCTTCTTTCTTTGAAAGAGGACAAAATCTAACATTCAACAAAGTAAAATCACAAATCCTAATCCAAAAATTTAGCAGCCATGAAAAGAAACAGGAAAATATGACCCATACCAGAAAAGAAAGCATCCAATAGGGGGGGGAAAAACCTAGAATAATGGAATTATCAGAGAAGTATATTAAAACAGCTATTATAAGTACATTGAATATGTTCAAGGACCTAAAACACAAATATGATGAGACCCAAATGGAAAATACATCATATGGATGAACCCAAGATGGAAAATACATGTCTTTTAAAAAGAACTGAAAGGAACTTACAGAGATAAAATATTAAATTAAAATTAAAAATTCTAAAATTAAAAATGCACAGGATGAGATAAACAGAAGGTCAGACACTACTAGAAGAAAAAAATATAAGAGAACTTGAAGACATGGCAAAAGAAACTATTCAAACTGAAGCACAGAGAGAAAAAAGGACAAAAGGAAAAACATACTGAAAGGAAAGAACCTCAGTGGTCCATGACACAGTATCAAGCAACCTAACTTGTGTGGACTGAAAGTCCCACAAAGAAAGAATAACAAACATAAAGAAATATTTCAAATTTGATGAAAACTATAATCCCACAGATCCAAAAAACCCTAGGTGGGTTCACTGGTTTATCCCTAAGTGGGATAAACACAAACCACAGAACACAAAGGCACATCATAATCAAATTGTCAAAAACCTGTGACAGCAAAAATCTTAAAAGCAGCCAGAGGAAGGGGAAAAAAACAAACAAACAATAACCCCTGCCTGCCTTTTATAAAATATATACAATTCATCAAAACTACAATTCTTCAAATAACTTATGCTTATTGCCTTCAGATATGACATACTATAGCAATGCCAAAGGTAAGATGGTAGAGGTAGTACATAATCGTAAATAATAGATTTTACCTTCTCTGTGAGACTAATTTAATACAATATAATGAGACCCAAAAGTGGACAGATAACGATAGTAAAAGTGAGGACACCGGAATGCTATTTCTAGATTATAGACTACCACCAGGAGACCATTAATAAATAGCTTAACTTACCTCTGCTTTTTTTTAACCCAATATACAACAGTTTAAAAAAAAAAGGGACAGGTGCAACAACTTCAAGAAGACCTGAATGAATCTCTTACTATTTCTGTTTGTAAAATGCTTCAAGAACCTTAGACTGTATTACTGCAGAGTTTTAATTTAACAAGGCAAACTTTAAAAGTACTAAGTCATTTCAAATGTTCTCTTTAAGGATCATTTGCTACAATTGTTGCTAACTAAATAAATACAACAGACCCAATCATAGCACATAGCCATTATTATGTTAGTATTTTAATTAAATCTAAAGGTGGCCATGTTAAATTGGTAAAATAAACACGTGTTCAGTAGTTCTATATTTAATACTTAAGTATCAAAATGAAAACATTATCTAAATGGAAAAGCTTATAAATGAACAAAAAGGTAGATTATAAATTTAATTCAGTGATTTTTTTTATTTAAAAAGTAGAACTTAGTGATATTCTATACATAGAAATAATTATCTATTGAACACACCTCAACTGTAAAACTCGGTATACCCACAAATATCACCATAAGAGTTATCTTCCAAGGGTCCAAATTCAAATGAAATTAGGAAATTCAGATCTCTTACCTAATGTCTTCTGATAGGAAAGAGCAATCACTGGCTTCATAACTATATACAATGGATCCAGTGAATTTTAAGAAGGGAAGGTCATCTTCAAAAACACTCTTCTGAACAGAAGATGCCTTGAGTTAAATAAAATTCAAAATAGGTGCAAATAAAGTTCACATTAAATAATAGATGTTCACTGAAATAAAGTTCACTGAAGCATTCAACTTACAAGTTTAAGTCTTATCAATTCATGCTTTATAGACTAATGAAATCATAAGGACATTTTAACAAATAGAAAACCATCCTTTTGTCAAATTACTTCTCCTAGTTTATTTTCAAACTCCTAATCCTATTTTCATAAAGCATTTACTTTACTGAGTTTTTTCCTATTAATTTTATTAGTATTCTAGATGTGATAATGTTGCCTTAAAATGCTGAAGACTGGCAGACAGATCTTAAATCTGGCTTAATCAAAAAAGTCAACAAAGTTAATGTTGTCCAAATTATTATATGAATTAGAACAAATTAGTAAGGTCAACCATGCAAATTGAATATAAAAAGGGAAAATATATAGTAAGAATTCTCGTTTTGTAAATTCAATTAAAATTTATTCCCATTTATTCATTCAATCGACTAGATCCTGGTTCATTCACCACCAGCAACTCTGACCTAAACAATGATCTGAAGTTTACAAGTGAAAATTGTACAGTCCAGTTTATATTTCCCACCTGAAAGAATCATCAATGAACAACATACCTTTCTTTCTTCTACAGCACAACTTTCATTCTTCATACACATCCATTTAGGAAATTTCTGTCTCGGTAGAGCTGATTCCAGTGTTTCTTTATGCATCTTTAAAATGCCCTAGTTGCAAAATCCAAAACCAACGACTTTATGAGTAAATACAACGCAATCTTTGAAAGAAAACTCAGAGATAGCCCTGTGGAGATGACTGAAAACCAAATGTACATATTTAAAGTAAGTTATGATATGTAGGCCTAAGTATAGGTTATAAGAGCCGAAAAGACAAAAGAAAAAGAAACGGATACCATGATAGATTCAAACTACGCATTTAGTATTTCTTCCCTTTAAAACAAATCAGCCACTTCAATTGAGTTCTAAGGTTTTTGCAGTTTCAAAATTCTATTCTATGACTGATCCTTATGAAAAACAATCTTTATTTCATTAACAATGAAAATCCTTGGGTATATGAATTATGACACATTTTCTGACATTTTTCTCTATGATTATCATCTGTTCTAATATCTAAGTAAATTCAGTAAAACTGTAAGACTTATTCACAAGCCTACTTGAAGATTTAATTCTGAAGACAGCTAACAGCTGTTCTATATTAAGGAATTTTTACTATGTTTTTTGCCTGTGTGAACAAGTTTCCCTAAGAATGAATTTCCCAGATGATTTTTTTTTAACTAATCTGTGTACGACCTTGGAGTGCTCTCCTCAATGTAAACAAACTTCAAGTATGATCAAAGAAAACACAGTGAATAAGAGAACCAGAATATATTCTTTTTCTTAATGGTAAAATGGATCCACACCTTGATATGACTCAGATTAAGTTGAAGTAGCCTTAAATTCTTAGTCAATTCCTCAAATCTCAATCTTAGTTTCTATTATTCCAAATTCCTAGTAAGGGAGTAGCAGTTCTGAATATGCCCCCTGAAGATTCTCATGATGAAACACGATGTTAATGTAAAATAATCACAGCAACTAATATTTACGATTTAGGGATAGCCAATTATATTTGATATTTAGCAAATACACTTTGAAGAAATTAAACAATATCTGGCAAGTGTCCATTTTAACTGCTCATTTTCCCAAGCATAACCAGAAACTGAAAATACTAATAATTTATGGAACACTTAAAAGATTACTTTGTCAAACTTAAATTTTCCATATAGAATAAATTCCATCACTCTTATGTACTGGGAAAGAAAGGGTTAACAACAGGTTTATAACTCACTCTTTCACTATTGGAGAAGGGAGAAAAACTTCAACTGGATTCCCAGTCAACATGCTAACGACCTCAAACCAGAGAGTAGCCTTGAAAACTTATTAAGGGTATTTCCAAGTAGAAAAATACCAAAAAAAATACCTAGAAAATGTGAACAAGATATAATTATTTAGATTATCATAAATAAGCTTTGAATTATGGATGTGTTAATTTATGGCTAGAAAATGGGGGCTAGTCAAATAAACCATCTAATTAAAGAAAATATAAAACAGGAGTTTCAAAACCAAAACAACTTCCTTGCCTTGCGCAATGTTTTTGCACACATTGCTTAAAATGAGTCTGTTAATCCAAAACCATGACATGTCCTAAGGCAGAAGAAAGGTACATTTTTGGAATCTGTTTCTCAGTTTGGGTATCCTACAAAAAAAGAATATTCCATCTGCAGTTGGTGCTTGTTAGTATTCTTTGAATCATTATCAAAGTTTGCCATTGGATAAGATCTACGATTCACTGAATCAGAACTGACATCTCAACTCTTGGAGTTGCCACATGCATTATATGTTGTAAGATAAAATATGTAAAATATATACGCTTTATTAACTATAAAGCATTGTATAAATGTTAGTTATTATGAGTAAATTTATATTTGCTACAAATTCAAAACCCTTTGACAGGAGAAGTCAAAAGTTATTCCCAAATTGTTTATATATAATCAGTCCTTAATCATAAAATATATGTTTATAAAGCTGGAAAACAAGTTTCTGCTATACCCAGGGTAGATCCCTGGCAAAATGCCAGAAAAATGAAGTTTCTACAAATAACACAAATTCTATAAAAATACCTATAGAACCTTGGAATTTTGTAAGTAATTCATTTATAGTGCCAAAACAGAAATAAACTTCAATAACTCTTCCCTACTATCTATAACACTAAAATCATTTTAATTTGAAATATCTAAAATTTGTAATTTTTAGATGTAAGTACTCTCTTCTGCACACAAAATTCTATCTAAATGCTGCCAGGAAAAGAATTTGAAAGTGAATTTGTTTACAAACCTAACATCTTTGTCAAATTTACATAGCTCTTGGGGCAGATAAAAAGCATACTGAAAATTAAAGTTGTGGAACAATATATAATAGGGAAATCCTTTAACATACATGAGAATGTTAATTCTTGATCTGATAAATGTTATTCTTGGAGGGATAAAAGTCATAGCATAAAAGAATTTTTTTTATTTACATGTTTAGTCACTATGTTGTTGAATATGAACAACTTTGTCACATTTTTTTCTAAAATCATGTCTTTCATTATTTCATGAGTCATATTGTACTATTAAAGAATCTTAAATCTCCCTCTGAAATAATGTTACTTTGATATGCTTTAGTTCCAACTTCCCTGAAATCTTCTTGCCTATCTATCTACCACGATCTACAACTTTTCAACCTTCTATCACTATTTCAAAGGCTGTCTGGGATTTCTGTTGTTGTTGTTTGGTTGCTGTTTATTCTCCTGTTTTTTATTCTGAATAAGCCAGAATGAACATGTCTATCAGTAGGGAAATTCATCTCATTCACACATAGTATAAAAGCTTGGCTTTCACCTTACTCTGATTAGCATCTATCTTACTGTGTTTACAGTTTCCTCTTTTTCCATTTCTTTTGTCTTGATGAAATTATCTCATTCTCTTTTTCCCATTAATAATGTAAAATATATATGAGGTTATATGCATTACTCCATTCCTCATCAAGACTAACAATATTTTCCTCAAATTCTATATAGCAACCATCAAAAAGAAGCTTTGTTAGCACAAGTGGTAACAAGTGGCAAAAGAGGATCCTTTGCTCTGATAGAAAAACTCCTTTTTCAAGATTAACCAGTACTCCAACTACTCAGTTTCTTTAAATTGCACTGCAAGTGTGCAAAAACCCTTTAAAACTGATATCTTTTCCTTTTCTTAATTTCTTCTCATGATATAAGCAAGCTTTGAATACAATTGAATTTTTTATATCAAGTATTCCAAAATAATACTAAAGCTTTCTCTCACACCTGACTTTGCTTAGTACTACTATAGTACTTTGCTCTAGTACTATTAATTCTTCTTTATGTTTCAAATAACACCAATTAAACATCACTTCTAAAACCATTTCAACTTCACTTTTCCAAAGCTGAATTCTTATCCATAACTACATCAATACACAATATAAAAATATTTTTTCCACACGATCACTGCACTTTTGATTGAGTTAATTCAAGTGCTCAAAATGTCAGTTAAGGATGCCATTTTTGAAGCCAATACCTAAACTTCAACAAATCTGCAAAGAAAGAGTCATTCACATGGAATAATTTAAAAGTTTCCTTTCAGCTTATAAATCTTTCTTTGAACTGTCAGAAAAGAAGATACTGCAGGAGCTTGAATTTAATTAGGCTTACCATTTTTATTTTTAATTTAATCATTTAATATGGCATTCAAAATCACAGGCATTCAGAACATACAAGCAATTCTCTGTGAATAAGATAACATATTATTTGGAATATATTTTTACATTGAACTTAATATAAAGCTCATAACTACTGGAGATGGAGCTGCACTGTATGGGGGAAGGGCATGCTTCCAGCCCTTGGTCAAGACAAAGGCATTACATGTAACCAAAATGTTTGTTTCCCCCATAATATTCCAAAATAAAAAAATATATACATATATAAAGCTTTATACCTTCCTGTCTTTACCAGTCCCAAACTTCTACTGTTTCCATAATATCTTGTATGTTTCAAAGTGTTCATTTATCACTTTGAATATTTCATCCTCAGTTGGTTCTGCAACTTTTTTGTCAAGCAAACAATGTCTTCCAGATGTTTTTTTTTTTTTTTTGAGACAGAGTCTTGCTTTGTTGCCCAGGCTAGAGTGAGTGCCCGTGGCGTCAGCCTAGCTCCACAGCAACCTCAAACTCCTGGGCTCAAGCGATCCTCCTGCCTCAGCCTCCCGAGTAGCTGGGACTACAGGCATGCGCCACCATGCCCGGCTAATTTTTTGTATTATTTTTAGTTGGCCAATTAATTTCTTTCCATTTATAGTAGAGAAGGGTCTCGCTCTTGCTCAGGCTGGTTTCGAACTCCTGAACTCGAGCATCGCCCGCCTCGGCCTCCCAGAGAGCTAGGATTACAGGCGTGAGCCACCGCGCCCGGCCATCTTCCAGATGTTTTTCTTCAAGGATTCTACAGTCTTCTCACTGAGGACCATTACCAATGTTCATGAAGTCATATCTAAAATGAACACCTTTTGATTAGTCTCCAGATTAGTGTTGTCTCTATTCATTTGACAAATCTTCATTGTATCTTGTAATAGAATAATTAAAAATGGCTACTTTTCAATTTCCTTTGCTTCACTGTCCCAAACACAGTGTTCCATACAGGCAGGGAAAAAAAGCAGACTTGGCAGTCCAGGGAGTCTTCTGGATTAACTGTGCAACACTTCTTGAGTTCAATGTGATAACTACTTTTATCGATCTCATTATAATGTACAGTACATCCATAAAATAGAATACTATGCAGTCATTCAAAACAATGTTATTATAATTTATCAAGTTAAAAAATTAGAAAATTAACTTCAAATAAATATGCATGTGTATTTATGTATGTATATATGCATGTGTTGTGTATGAAGGTCTAGGGCAATGTATACCAAAATACTAGTGGTTATCTCACAACTGCAGATGGTTTTTAATATTATTCTTTATACTTTTCTCTATTTTCCAACTTTTCTATAAAAAGTGTTCCTTTTAACAATCGGGGGCAAAAGTATGTCAATAAAAGGGGGAAATAATTTTTTAAAGTGAATAATCAAGTCTATACTTTTTCATGCTATAGAACAAGGGTCAGAAGACAGTGAATATTCTAGGCTTTGAGAGCCAGATGGTCTCTGTCAAAACTACTCAAGTTTGTCATGATAGTACAAAAGTCATAAACAATACTTAAACAAGATGGCAATGTTACAAAAAAACTTTATCTATAGGCCGGGCGCAGTGGCTCAGGCCTGTAATCCTAGCTCTCTGGGAGGCCGAGCGGTGGATTGCTCGAGGTCAGAGTTCGAAACCAACCTGAGCAAGAGCGAGACCTGTCTCTACTATAAATAGAAAGATTAATTGGCCAACTAATATATATAGAAAAAAATAGCCGGCATGGTGGCGCATGCCTGTATCCCAGCTACTCGGGAGGCTGAGCAGTAGATCGCTTGAGCCCAGGAGTTGAGGTTGCTGTGAGCTAGGCTGATGCCACGGCACTCATTCTAGCCTGGGCAACAAAGTGACACTCTCAAAAAAAAAAAAAAACCTTTATCTATAGACACTGAACCCTGAATTTATACAAATTTCATAATTCTTAATAAATTACATATTATTCTTTTGATTTTCAACCAATTAAATATGTAAAAACCATTTAGTACATAGCACAAAAATAAGCAGCAAGTCAAATATGGCACACCGGCCAGTTTGCCAACCCCTACTTACCTCCATAATGCATTCATAAAATATCCAATAGGAATGAATGCAACTTCTTGAAAAAGCGTTTTTGATAAATTAGTTGCAAAATAGTCCTCACAATAAATGACTAGACTTATTGTATAGAGTTGATAACATTACCCAATTACAAGTAAAGAGACTGTCAAAATTATGAATTATGTTTATAAAGAAATTCATCTTAAGTGATTCTATTTGACAGCAATTAAATATTAGCAAAAGTCTGCTGAAGTCACTTCTAGTTCATGTCAAGAGAAATCACACCAGTAAGATTAGAACAAATTTAGAAAAATTAAGACCAATTACATCCCAAATTAGCTAAGATGGGATAGTTTTTTTTAATTACCTAACTTTTAAGCCATACTTTGATGGAACAGAAATTCATTTGAAGAGCACAGCAGTTTTCCACTTAAAACAGTGCCATCTTCTAGAGAATGGACAGACTTAACACCAGTCTCATGAGGACAATCTTAAGAGAAAGTGGGGTTTCAGTGGATGAGCTCAGTGATTTCTTTGTTCCTAAAACCTCTAACTAAGGTAAGGAAATTAATTGCTACTGTAATGGTAACCAACTTGCTTAACTGCTTGAAGGCTAAACTGAATAAAGCATCCCAATCTTTTTGGAAAGTATTTTTAAGAATTGTTAAGTTAAATGGTACATACATATAAATAACTTAATTTGAAGTTCAGGAAAAAAGTATTAGTAAGAAATTCAATGCTTAACTCTATTAGCCAGTTATATTGTTTTTTTGTTTGTTTTGTTTTTTATTTTAGCCTATTATGGGGGTTCAAGTGTTAAGGTTACATATATTGCCCATGCCCCCCCTGCCCCCCACGAGTAAGACCTTCAAGCGTGTCCATCCCCCAAACGTTGCACATCTTACTCATCGTGGTTGTATATACCCATCCCCTCCTCCCCCCAGTTATATTGTTTAATGTGGAGAAATTTCTACTTACTATCTGAAATGGTTCAGTTCTATTTTGTTCAAAATATGTAAAGGCTAATCTGATGAAATACACTGTTATAAATACTGATTATTTAATAAAAATGCAAGAATGTTTACAATTATTCTAAAATTTACTAATAATGTCATAGAATAGGCACAATACTTAAGCTGTAATTTCAATTCCTGACTCTGAGGCTTTTTTTTTTTTTGAGACAGGGTCTCACTCTGTAACCCAGGATGCAGTGCAATGGCACAATCATAGCTTACTGTAACCTCAAACTCCTGGGTTCAAGTGATTTTCCTGCCTCAGCCTCCCAAGGAGCAGGGAATACAGGAATGTGCAACCCCACCTGGCTAATTTTTAAAAATTTTTTGTTATTTTTACTGAAAGGTGGCTCAGTAAATAAACTTTAAAAGTTCTGGGCTTGATTTCTTTTAGTTTATTATATTACCTTGCACACTGCACATTGAGTTAATTACACATACCAATATACTAGTAACTACTTTACATGAATACTAAAGTAATAAATACACAGATATATACACATATACAATCTATAATTTATTGTAGAAGATATAATTTGCAAAGTATTCTACTATAAGGTTTCTGAGATGTTCTTTCTACTATTCTATGAATCAACAGGAATAAGAAGGGGCAGAGGAAAACAGAGGAACCAAAGAATCCGTGACAAAGCCTTAATTAACTAATTAAAGAAGCTCTCAAGACTTTCATTAATCTATTATCAGATTTCTACTAATCTTAATTTCGCTCCAAATAGCCCAAGCAAGCAAACCAGAGGAGCTAAATACAACTATCTATTAACATTTGGTTTGACTATAGTAAGTCAACGTAATTTTTAAAAGTAGTAGGATGATATTTTAGAGAGATTTATTTCTTTATAGGTATCTAACAAATTTTCCTGTCAAACATTACATAAAGTACAATGTTGTATTAATAAAGCCAAGTGAAATAAAGTGTAAACGGAACCAATCAAATAAACACAATAAAATGCCATTAATGTTAGCTAGCAACAGGGGAAAAGGATAAAAGCCTCTCTCTGCTGTGTCATAGTGAGAAGCCGCACTGCCCATAAACCGGGAACATGACCTGAACTGAATCCATGGCACAGTGAAGTGCTTTATAACTGGATTTCACTATTCAACTAAATAATTCATTATTTTTAATGAATTTCCTCTGTTCTGTAAGTAGCTATAGCCAGTCAGCTGAAATCAACCATTATACACTGGGAAACTGCAGAGAAAGTTTCCAAGTAAGTCAATTTAAAACTTGCTTAGGCTGTCTATTTTTCCTTTTATATTTATTACCGTTACTTCATATGGCCTGAGATGAAATTTTATAGGACTCATTATTAAGTAGACGTTGACGGCTGCCTAGCCAGCATCCACTCCACCCTAGACCCTTTTTATGGTACCAATAAATTTAATTCAGATAATGGTCAGTTACCCACAAAGCCAACGTGCTTTAAGGAATCTGCCCCACTTTCAGCTCCCCTAGTAGACCCACCGGTCTAAAGGTAATCCCATTCCTCTTGCCACAATGATGATTCAGAAACTCAGGCCTAACTTCAAAGCATTCCTCTGGGTTTGCCTTAAGAATAAAATATATGACTTAATTCAAGCCAATGAGACACAAGGGGGTGATTTTTAGGAGGATTTCTGAGAATAACACTGCCTTGCTCTCATAAGAAAACTGCCAGGAGAGATGCCCTCTATTTGAGAATGCGAAATCCAGATCTTCTACAGCCATTTTGCTGCCATGATGAAAGTCAGCTTAAGGACAAAACCAACTTAGGTACAAAGTCAACACATAGAAGGCAGGAAAAATGAGAAATGGAGCCACAGGCAACAAACTAAACCAGTCATCAACTCATGCCTATTTCAGCCTTCAAGTTACATTTCCATAATACATTTTCTTATTTTTTAAGCCTGCATGAATCAAGTTTTGTATATTTGTATTCTAACTGATACACAAATAGAATTGAAAATAAAATCATTTAGCCAATTCTTGTCTTTCTTTAAAATCTATCTTCAATAAAAATAATTCAGATAAACAAACTAGCCACAGAAAAAGTATATAGTACCGAGAAAGTTTCATAACTTCGTAAGTAAAGAGTTTCAAAATTTTTAAAAACCAAAACAAGAATCAAAATCAGCAGCAATTTAACAGAAAATTGTAACTTGGCTCAATAGCAGTGATATTTAACTTTACAATATAAAGCATCAGGTTGAAATTCAGCATTACCAGGTAGAAAGAAAAATGCATACATTTCACAGGAAGAACAATTTAAGTGTGGGAGGAAGAAGGAATGATAAAAATGGAGACAAGGTAAAAAAGAAAGTGGAAAATTAATACATAATTCTGTAAGCAACCATAAATTTACCCAATGCAAATCTTATACAAGAAGTTTGATATAGTCTTCTCAGACAGGGAAGTTTATATCTTTTTTTTTTTTTTTTTTTTAGGCCAAAAAGATGACACTGGAGGGAAGTTTATATAATACGAATTTTTTAAAATCAGCAGTTTTGTGACTGTATTTCCTGGAAGGAAAAAAGTTATCTTCCAGTCCAATTATTTTTGTACTGTACTTCAGCAACTCAGTTTTATGAATGAACAGCAAAAGCAGGTCAGGTGCCAATAGGTGATATTTCATGCTTCACTTCAAAACTTCCAGGAGGAGCTACAAAGCTTTGATATTTTTTCTGATGCCTTCTATTATTCGTACCACAGAGTAGGAAGATCCCATAACTCTATCCTCTTGGCTTCAAAGAGAGCTAGAAAGAAGGTGAATCTCTGAAGAGCTAGCCTAAAACACTAACAGTAGAAGGGATCATTAAAATGCAGAGACAAGAACAAGGAAGTCAGAAAGAAACAAAGCCTTGAAGCAGGCTCAAGAGGGAAGGTCATTGTTTCACTTATTTTTTTGGAGAACATGAAAGTATTCTAATTTCTTATTACCCCATGAAGAAATTATTCAAAACCATCCTCTTTCTTAATCCTCCCTTATATTAAGCATTTTATCAAAGCAAAGAGAAAACAAAACACCTTCAAAAGAGTCTGACTCCTTTGACTAACCAGTTTTTACAAAAGGATAAGCTTAACTTTTTATCAAAGCTCTAATTATTTTCCTAAAGAAAATAATTTTTCCTCATTATCTCTTTGAGGGAAGGTAATTTTATCTATTTGTTTAACAGGAGCAAACAAGGTGGCCAAATTCAAAATAAGCTTACCCAAATTAAGTACTTTTCTATGTATCAGCAAAAATCAAATACAATTATACCCAATTCCAAATTGTATTAACACAGTTATATCCAAAATGTATAGCCAAATCAATTAACAGCAAAATGACAACCTACCCAGGAATAAATCTAATACAAAACATGCAAGTATAAGACCCATTTTAAAGACAACTAGAAAATTTTATTAAGACATTAAAAAGGGCTAGTTAAATGTAAAAGAAAATAAAAATTTCAGGACCACCCTCCTAACTCCAGCAACTTGAACTTGCTTGCAAAAGGCAAGGTAGAGGCCTCTGGCATCTGTGAAGGACTGGCCCCACAGAGCATTCATTAAGGAAATCTCTTGCTGACCTCCTATAAGCAAGGACATGCAAATTGTAACTTTAGGTCTCTAGCTCCTACAACTGGAGTCTGTTCAATTCCACACTAATAATGAATTACAAGTTTATCTTCCCAGGACTGCAAAACAGAGACCAGACAGGATCAGACATTCTTCCCCTACCCAGGGACATCTACATAATTGATGCTTCCTTCACTCTTTTTTTCCTCTTCTAAGATTCTCACCTCATCTTAATGTAAAAAGTAGATTTTCCAGAGTAACCCTTTGATTACCCACTGGGATCCTGCCTCTTTTTCTTTCTGTAAGCCCTATCCCCTCTCAAATACTGAAACTCCTAAATTCCCCCTCAGAAAAATAGCCACAGGCTTCTCTGTGGTTTGTGTTTTTCCTGGGCACATCTTCAACTTTGGCTTAATAAACCTCCATTGATTGAGAGCTTTGCCTCAGTCGCTTATTTTGGGTTGACAATAAGACACGCTGAGTTCCTGGATTGCTAGACTCAAAGCTGTAAATATATTAATTAAATCAATACACTCAAGAAGCAATACCAAGAAAAATGTCAGCAGAATTTTTCATCGAACCACACAAGTTTATATTAAAGTTCACTGGGACGAGAAAATGCTCAAGAGCAGCAAATATTTTTTTGAAAAATAAGACCAATAATGGAAAACTCACCCCATTAGATATAAAACAGTACAAAACTACAGTAACTTAAATGGTGTGGAACTGGTGTAAAAACACAGACATAAATCAACAGAACAAAACATACCATGTCCAATCTTGTATGTAGAAAACCCTAAGACTGCACTAAAAAAACAGAATAAATTAATTCAGTAAAGTAGCAGAATACAAAATCAATACCCAAAAACATTTGCTTTTCTCTTCATCAATAATGAGCTATCCAAAAAAGAAACCAAGAAAACAATCCCATTTACAATGGCATCAAAAAGAAAGAAATACATAGGAATGCATTTAATCAAGAAAATGAAAGATGCATACACTGAAAAACTGACAAAAGGAATTGAAAACACAAACAGAAAGATATTCTATATTGTTGATTAAAAGAATACTGTTAAAATGTCCATAATACCCAAGCAATATACAGACTCAGTGCAATCAATTCCAAGGGCATTTTTCACAGAAATACAAAAATCAATCCTAAAATTCATATGGAAACACAAAAGATTCCAAATATTCAAAACAATCTTGAAAAAGAAAAAGGTTGAGGCATCATGCTTCCTGATTTCAAGTTAGACTACAAAGCTATAGTAATCAAAACAGTATGATACTAGCATAAAAACAGACACACACCAATGGAACACAACAGAGAGCCCAGAAATAAATCAAAGCATATATGGTCAACTACTTTTCAACAAGCCCACCAAAAAGGCACAATAGTCTCTTCAAGAAAACATAGGTGTTCACTCAATAGTCTGCAATACTAAAAGACAAAAAGTTTTTTTAAAAGTACCCAACTACATTAAAACAGACATACAGACCAAAGGAATAGAATAGAGCCAAGAAATAAACACTGATGTTCGACAAGAATGCCAAGATTACAAAATGGAGAAGGAATAGTCTTTGGACCCTTATCTTAAACCATACACAAAAATCAATTCAAAATGGATAAAAGACTTAAATGGAAGCCCTGAAACTGTAAAACAACTAGAAGAAAATACAGGGAAAAGCTGCTCGACATTGGTCTTAGCAAAGATTCTTTGGTCCGAACACCAAAGACACAGGCAACAAAGCAAAAACGAACAAGTGGGATTCCATCAAACTAAAAAGCTTCTGCATAGCAAATAAAACAATCAACAGAGTAAAAAATCAACCTACAGAATGAGAGAAAATATTTGCAAACCATGTATCTGATAAAGGGTCAATAGCCAAAATATACAAGGAACTCATACAACTATTAATATATAGCAAAAAAACCACCCTATTAAAACATGGGCAAAAGACCTAAATGGACATTTTTCAAAAGAACACATACAAATGGCCAACGGTTACATGAAAAGGTGCTCAACATTACTAATCATCGGGGAAATGCAAATTGAAACCACATGAGATATCACCTCACACCAGTTAGGAGATGGCCATTATCAAAAAGAGATAACAAGTTTTGGCAAGGGTGTAGAGAAAACGGACCTCTTCCACACTGTTGGTGGGAATGTAAATTAGTACAGCCACTATGGAAAACAGTATGGATGTTCCTCAAAATATTAAAAATAGAACTACCATATGATCCAGCAAACCCACTACTAGGTATATATCCAATGAAAATTAAACCAATATAACGGAGAGATATCTGCACTCCCATGTTTATTGCAGCACCATTCAACAATAACTAAGATATGGAATCTACCTAAGTGTCCAACAACAGATGAATGCATAAAGAAAATGTGGTATATATGCACGATGGAATATTATTCAGCCATAAAATCACCTGTCATTTGCAGCAACATGGATGGAATTGAAGGACATCACGTCAAAATAAGCCAGACATAAAAACACAAATATCATGTGTTCTTACTCACATGTATGAGCTAAAAAAACTGATCTCATTGAGGTAGTGACTAGAATGTTGGTTACCGAAATCTGGATGGATAAGGGTTGGCAATGAAGAAAGATTGGTTAATGGGTACAAAAATAAAGTTAGACATTAGTAATAAATTCTAGTGTTTGATATATATAAACAAAAAGTAGATAAGTGATTGCCTGGAACACGAGGATGAGTTCTAATGGTTATGGAGTTTCTTTTTTGGGTGATGAAAATGTTCTAAAACTAATTGTGATGATGGTTGCACAAATCTGTAAACAAACCAAAAACCATTGGATTGTACACTTTAAATGGGTGGATTGTATGATATGTGAATTATATCTCAATAAAGCTTTTTAAAAAATTATGCTGAAATTTGACAGATACAAAAATATGTAAATATTATATGATTCTACTTACATAAAATATCTAGAATAGGTAAATTCATCGAGAAAGAATGTATTTTGGGGTGACTAAGGGCTGAGTGGAAGAGGCAATGGGCAGTTATTGCATAATGGTTACAGTTTCTGTTTGAAGTGATGAAAAACTTTTGAAATAAAGGGGATGAATGCGCAACACAGTGAATGTAATTAACGTCTCTGAATTGTACACTTTGATATGGTTAATGTATAGTGGTTGTACATTACATTACAACATTGTAATTGTTGTACATTACATACATTACATTACACTGTAAGTAATGTATGCATACATACATGTTATGTATATTTTACAATTAAAAAAAAGAAAAAAAAAGGTAATTCAGATCACATTGTTTCCCTGACAACTCTCCAATAGATTCCCATCTCTCTCAGAATTAAAGCCCCACTTTTTCAAAATAGCTCAGGGTCCTAACATAATCAATCTGTCCCTTGCCCTTTCTGGTCTGACCTTACCTGTCTCTCTCTGCTCTCGCTTACCTGCCCCCTAGGCTGATCTTTGAAGACAACCATGCATGCTCCCCCTGAGCCTTCTGTACTTTCTTTTCCTCCAGATAACCACAAGTTCTCTCACTTCCTTCAGTTGTTTACTCAAAAATTACCTTCTCAGTGAGACCTTCCCTGATCACCTATTGTAAAATTGCAGCTCCCTACCCTCATCCCTCTTTCTTTTGTATTTTCCATAGGATTGTCACCTTCTGACATCTTAATACATTTGACTTTTTGCCGTTCTCTTTCCACTAAAATATAAGCTCCAAAAGCAGAGAAGTTTTTGTCTGTTTTGTTCACTGTTGCTAACTCTAGTGTCCAGAGTGGTGCTCAATAAGTATTTCTTGGATTAGTAAGAGGAGACCTTTGGGGGGAGGGGGGAGGGAGAAGAAGAAACGAAACTTTTTTTATTTGAGAAATGCGAGCCCCTTTAAGTTATCAGGCTCAGAGAGGCAATAGAATTAAAAAAAAAAAAGGCCATGTCACTGTCCCTTGTGCTAAATTATCTTGAAGCCACCTGCTGTGTGGACTCTAACTGACACCTCGTAGCTTTATCACTGTAAACCAATGAGAATTCCTGCCCAATAACTTCGTATCAATAGGCAGCTACTGCATAATGGTTAGAGTCTGTTTAGTGATGAAAAAGTTTTGGAAATAAGGGTGATGAATGCACAACACAGTGACCGTAATTAATGTCACTGAACTGTACACTTAGAAATAGTTAAGGTTGCAAATTAGTATCAGCCCCACTCCTTGTTCCCTTTCCCTTTAAACACCTGCTTGTGCTGGCCGGTTGTGGTAGTTCTGTTGTTGTGGCTCCCACTGTAATCCTAGCACTCTGGGAGGCCCAGGCGGGAAGATGGCTTGAGCTCTGGAGTTGGAGACCAGCCTCAGCTAGACTGAAACCAAAAAGATGATTGACTGATTGATTAATAAAAACAAAATAAAAACCTGCTTGTAATTAAGATAAAAACAAAGAAAATAAAAACCTGCTTGTAATTAAGGCCAAAGGAGCACTCCCCATGGCAAGTGGGAAGTGTGTTCCAGGCAGCTGTCTTCATTCAAGTAACCTCTTTAGATTTAATACCTCGGCTTCATCCTTTTAGGTTCAATGATTTCAGGATCTGAACTCCCCTACCTAACCCGACCTCCAACATCTAAAAATTAACAGACCGAATTATACAAAGCCTGAAGTACTGTGACTTCCAGACTTCTAAATTAGCTTCCTAAGGACTGTATTACCCTCTTCAGCACCGAGTAGTATTTTTGCATGTGAAGCCTTTCCAGAGAACTCAGATTCAACCAGGGGGAGGGTAAAAACCATTAAGGACTGAATGGTATGACCTCAAAAAAAAAAAAAAAAAGGCCAGCACAACTTGCTAAATCATAGATACCGGGTTATTTCCCTCGACTTTGCTGTGTCAACACGGAGTGACTCAATTTTGCAAGAAGAAAGGCTGCATCCTAAAGGCGCACGACGGACGGCCCCGTGCGCCGCCTTTCTGACTGACACAAGCTCCCATCACGCCCGCGGTGCCCGAAGAGGGAAGGGGAAGGGAATGTCCGTTTCTAAGGAACCTCCAAAACACAGCCAGGGGTCTGTTCCGTCGGCTAAGCACCCCAGGTGTCGAGGAGGACACACAGCTGGGAAACAGGCGTGGGGAGGACACGTTACCTTGAGAAGACCAGTTCGCGGTCTGCTCCTTCAGCCGGACGACTTGTGGAACGCCACAACAGCAAGGCCTGCAACCCAGGCACGCGGGTTAACACCAATTACACAACTTTTCCGCGCCGCAGTGCGGGCCGGTGCGACTTCGACGCACACTGTGCGCATCAGCGAGGAAGACAGGCTTGCCGCCACCCGCCGCGCTTCCACGCGCGCCGCCGCCCTCCCACGAACCGTCCGCGCCGGCCGGCACAGTGCGCGCTGCGCAGAGCCGCGGCCGCCGCTGAGCACTTCGGGAAGTGTAGTCTCCGCGCAGGTGCCGGTGGGCCGCCCGAGTCCCACATCCGGCGAATCCCGAAGTCAGAACACTCTCGCCACCCGCCCCTGATTCCATCTTCACACCTGTCGGGTCGCCTGGCACTCGCGCAGCGTCCCCGCGCGCCGGCTTCCGTCAGGGCGCGCGCTGAGGGAGGACGCGAGACCCTCTTCCCCCCGAGGACTGTGCTGGGAGGGCGGGTCCGCCGCCCGCCCCCGCCCCGCCTCCGCCTCCCGCGTCTCCCTCCCGGCGGTGTCGGGCGGCGTCCGAGTCGAGGCGGCGGCCCCAGCGGCCGCAGGAGGGCGGCGGCGGTGGGCGCCGCGGGCGATGCCCTGCCCGGCTGCTCCGGCGGGGGGCAGTGCGAGCGGCGGCGGCGGGGGAGGAGGCGGGGGGCGCGCTGCGGCGGCTGCGGCAGAGGGGCCGAGAGCTGGCGGCGGCGGCGGTGGTCGTGAAGGGCATCGGCGGCGGCGGTGATGGCAGAGATGATGTGAGTGCCCGCTGCCCGGGACCGGGGCTGCGGCGCCCCGCGGCGCGGCCGGCGGCGTGTGGAGCGGGAGGCGGGGCGCGAGGGATGCTGTGTGCGCGCCGCAGAGCCGGGACCGCCGCCGCCGCCGCCGCGACCGTCCGAGGCTGGAGCCCGGCGCTGCGGCGGCCGGCGCCGCGGGATCCGGGCCCGGCGCGGGGGTCCCGGGCGGCGGCGGGGGCAGAGCAGGCCGAGGGGCGTCTGCGATTGTTCTCAACACCCCTCCCCCACCCCACCCCGTGTGTCTGTTTGTCACTTGCAGCTGAAGATGGAAAGAGCCAGGCGAAGGGGAGGCGGCGGCGGCGGCCGCGGCCGCGGAGGCAAGAATGTGGGGGGCTCTGGCCTAAGCAAGAGTAGACTCTATCCCCAGGCCCAGCACTCCCACTACCCCCACTACGCGGCTCCAGCCACCCCTAATCAGGCCGGGGGCACAGCCGAAATCCAGGAGCTGGCCTCCAAGCGAGTGGACATCCAGAAAAAGAGGTTTTACCTGGACGTGAAGCAGAGCTCCCGGGGCCGGTTCCTCAAGATAGCCGAAGTCTGGATAGGGAGAGGCCGGCAGGACAACATCAGGAAGAGTAAGCTGACCCTCTCCCTGTCGGTGGCAGCCGAGCTGAAGGACTGTCTAGGGGACTTCATCGAGCACTACGCCCACCTGGGCCTAAAAGGCCACCGGCAAGAGCATGGCCACAGCAAAGAGCAGAGCTCCAGGAGGAGACAGAAGCACTCCGCACCCTCCCCGCCAGCCTCGGTGGGGTCGGAGGAGCATCCTCACAGTGTCCTCAAAACGGACTATATAGAGAGGGATAATAGGAAATATTACCTAGACCTGAAGGAAAATCAACGGGGTCGCTTCCTAAGGATTAGACAAACCATGATGCGGGGGACTGGCATGATAGGTTACTTTGGCCACAGTTTGGGCCAAGAACAGACGATTGTCCTCCCGGCACAAGGAATGATTGAGTTTCGTGATGCCTTGGTTCAGCTGATCGAAGACTATGGCGAAGGGGACATAGAAGAACGCAGAGGTGGAGACGATGACCCGCCTGAACTCCCAGAGGGGACTTCATTCAGAGTGGACAATAAAAGGTTCTACTTTGATGTGGGCTCTAATAAATATGGAATTTTCCTGAAGGTAAGTGAGGTGAGGCCACCTTACCGTAATACTATTACTGTTCCATTCAAAGCTTGGACAAGGTTTGGGGAGAATTTTATCAAGTATGAAGAAGAGATGAGGAAAATTTGCAACAGCCATAAAGAAAAGAGAATGGATGGCAGAAGGGCCAGTGGTGAAGAACAAGAATGCCTCGACTAGAGTGAAATTGAACTCCATCAGGCAAAATTTTAAATCATAAATTGGCTAAAAGTACTGATTCATAATCATTCGAAGAAGTTTTTCCTCTTTTTTGGCCCTTTGTTATTAGTAATACCTCTAGTAGTTTATACTTCAAGAAGTCTTTACTCTCATGTTACGTTGACACATAGATCACTAAAATTCTTATGGGAATTCCAACCTTCCCAGAGCTAAATAGTTTAGCTGCTTCAGCTGCTCCAGACTATTGAAGTATACAAATCAGCACAAAATGTGACATTCTGACATTCTAAATACCTAACTTAAGATTTACATTGCACTATGACATGATCCTAAAAAAAAGATACATATACTTAAATGAAAGTGTGAATTTCTATTTAACAAGTTCCCCAAAAAGCATTTCATTCCAACTTCATTAAAAGCTGCTAAGCTTACCTGTAGGACAGTTACCACAGAAACAGAAATTGACCTCAAGTATATATAAATATATTTATTTATAAAAAGTACAAATAGAAATATATCATCTATTGGATAACTGAATATTAAACAATACCATTAATGGGTCAAATCTCATTATCTAAACCTTAAAAATACAGTGTCATAATATTTCTTAAGAGTTACTATATAGTATTTTATAATTTCAAATTTTGTGGTAACCCTACAGTTTTTAGTTACCATATCAGAGCCATGGGAGAATTTTAATTGGTCATTCTAAGCTAGTTACAATCCCATCTTCACCTATTATACTATATATTTTTATTGACTTTACAAAGTTTCAGGAATTACTTTTATGTCACTATTGAGTGGGAGGCTTCACCCAATGGCTTTGCTATGGAAATCTTGGTGTTTTAGCCTTTCATGCTAATTTGAAGATTGTGAGAGATTTTTCCCAAAATATATCTCAGACTCAAGGTGTTATATTTTATGCTTCTTCTTTAGCACTATTTCAGAGGGGTTGGTGTACCAGTTAACTGATATAAAAATACATCTGTAATAATATATTTTAGTAGCACTTTTGCTATTGCTACCCTTAAAACCATGTCAGTACTTCCAATAGAAACCTGACTTTTACAGATGTTTTAATTCCATGGGGGGAAAAAGCATTTTTTTCTAAAAAGTATTTAGAATACAAATTTTCAGTCTGGGAAAAATATTATTTGAAGATTGGTTATAAGTATGTTTGAAAGGAAAATTCAAGCATTTTCTAAGGTGCTCTTTATGACTTTACACAAGACTTACCCATTTACCTGTATTAAAAATTACTTTCCAGGAAGTGCCACAGCAACTTTTCAACACCTAAGCAATTTTTTTAAACAAGTGGATATAGTGTATATGTGTACCAACCCATCCTGTATTAACTAAAATTTCATCTGTTGAGCTACACTTTATTCTGAATGAAATTATTGTCTTTTATCTTGGCTTTATTTACCTCCCACACAATAATCATGTTTAAGAGCCAGATCACTGATTTCAACCCCCAAATATAGCTCTCATTGATGAGAGCTGGCTGCATGGATTGAGATCAGAATGTAGCTCTTTCTTTTATATGCTATAAGTAATTCAGAAATATTTTAACAATTTTTTCTTCCAAAGGTTTGTCCCCAAATACATTTTAGTAAGGTCACTAAGAAAACTATGGTATGAACTAAGAAAATTAATTTCATCGGTTTATGTTGCTTAAGAACAAGCAATCAGTAACCCAGACATATATATATATACCGGTATTGGTTTGCAGACTGCATTTCACGTTTCCTCAAGTAGTATAAAGGAATCTCATTAGTTCATTATAATTGTGGACCATCTGAATCACTACGGAACAACTGAAGGTTAGAAGCACATGGTGGGTGTTGAGTAGCAAGGATTTTTAAACAGTCCTAACTGTAAAATAACTGTGTAGGCTCCCTAAAAAGTAGTTTCTGGTATTTGAAGGAGTGATGTGCACTTGAATTACTGTACTACTGATTGTTATTGCTGCCCATCATGGTGCCTATTAATAATAATCAACCTGTCAAATTTTGGCAAACTGGAGCTGTGAATATTCTAGTATTCGATTGTTCCTATCACTATTGCTATAAGTGTATACTCTTAAAATCTTCCTTTCTAAAATATTTATATCCATTAGGTCAAAATGATTTCTTTTTTGGTTTTTAGTCTGATAAGCTGTGTGTGTGTGTCAATATATATACATATATATGTATATATACATGTATGTACATACATACAATACTATGTCAGACTTAAAGATAAATATCTTTAATTCTTTATATATAAATATTAAGTTTAGTTTTGCATTAATTATTTAAGTAAAGAATTAGTTAATCATCCAAATTTTCTACCTTGTATGTATACTTCAAAGTTTTTACCATGTCAAAGCTGCAGGTTAGATAGATGCATATATACTGGCAATCGAATATAATTTAGAATTATTAAACCTTCTGCCAGTCCTTTTGTTTCATTTTTTCATAGTTAAATGTATTCATTGAAAAATGAGATGATGCTATGATTTTTGGATACTTTAAATTCCCAAGAATTCATTAGCCATAATCAAATATGATCCAGTTCAAAACTCTGGTCTTAGGACATATATTGCCATGTATCTTATAAAATAAGCTACTAGTCTTATCTGTGCAATATGCATTTTATTTATTGTTATTTGTAACATAAATGAAGCTGCAAGTATACATGGTATTCTTCAAAATAACAGAAGTCCTGCCTTGAAGACATCAAACTCTTAAGGCAACTGGAAGTTAGAAGTAAAAAAATGAGCATGAAAGTTAGTAACCAAAAGTACTAGTTCACTGTATAATTCTAAAACACTGATGATGTTTGCACATAATAATCCAAGCATAATGTGGTACAGACTCTAAACTGTAATAATATAAGCTAATAGTATGAAATTTGGAAACGGGTTCCTCATAATAGTTGGCAGTATGCTCCTAGCAATTGAAAGCAGCACTAATCTGTTGCTTATATGCAAAAGATGCAATGTATTATAAAGGTATTAAAGTTCTGCCACATTTTATAATTTTCCTTGTTAAAGCCCCAAACTGCCATGTCCCTTAAACTTGAGTCAAACACAAGCTTATTTGCACTAAAGAGCATGGCCAAAAAAATAAATGACAGGGTGGAAAAGCTAATTGGAACCTCTTGAAATAATGGGTTCTAATGGGAGAATTTCACATTTGTCTATTTGAAAGCTATATGGTCCAGGCAGACAATCTGTCAGTTCACTAATTTAATAATGCACTTTACCTTTTGTATATAGAAGATGTACATTTATGCCACTTGAAAGGTGGGATGTGTTTCAATAACTGTGTAGTTAGAATCCGTAGGGCGATCTCTTGCATGCATATGTTTGTGTTGGAACTGTTGTAGTAACAGGTTTCCATTAAATCAGTGTAATGGAGAAGGGTAGAAGATGCTTTTGAAGCAAATCCCAGTACATTTAACAAAGAATTTTAAAGTAGAGTTCATATTTGTATTCTTAAGGACTAGGATAAATTAAAAAAAACTATTTCTAACCTCAGTTAGTATTACAGTTGAGACTATATTTAGTCAAGATTCCCCATGATACCCTGAAAGCTAATTTTGGGAATTTGTCCAGATAAAAATTTTTTTAATGATTTTCTTTCGTTGTTGATGTGTTTAAGTAACTAATAAAAAAGGCAGTATATAATACTGTACTGGAATTAAAAGTATAGTTAGCTTGGTATGGCATTATTTTTAAAACACCCAGACTAAAGAAATAAAGTTTCAAGTTAAGGAAATGCATAGAGCCTAAGAAAAGTTGTTAAAATAAGTATATTTCAAAATTTACAGAAGTACTAACCTTCACCAACTGAAGAGGGTATTGGGGGATTTAGTGTATCCTTCCATCCTAAAAACTTCCTAAGATGTACATTTGAAAACTAGGTAATTGTTGCTTAATAATAGGTTGTATGTACTTTACTGAGAAACACTGTGTACTAACAATTCATCAAGAGTGTGCTATATTTACTGCATTCATTTTATATCTATAGATAAGAATACATTATATATAGTCATCCTATCTTAATATAATCATGTATTTATATTGTAATTTTGCAAATATTTTCAGTAAAATAAACATTTATCTGAGCTGCACAATTTGAAGAGGATGAAATTGGAATATACCCTCAGATACTCTTTCTAATAAGCAGCTACCATTGAAAGCTGATGTATGTATTATTCCTTTAAATTTTGTTTTATGGTTTATTTCAATATTTAAGTGAATAGTACTTAATTTGAATTTTTAAATGGTTTTCTGAAAATAATTTTTTCATAAGTGTGAGATTTTTTTTCCTGTTTATTTTCAAATGTCTTTCATTGGAACTATTTATGAAATCCTATTACAAGCTTTATGTAAGGGCTTTGCTTAGTCACCACTTAGTTTGAAGTCTGTCTTTACTAAAACACCAAACATCTTTGGCAGGATGCAAAGAGAAGTTAACATTGATTCTGTACCGACAGAATAACACCGGTTTAATATTTATCACTGCCCAAGAAGAGTCTTAAAATCTTTCTGAAAATTCCTTAAAGATTCCTTGAATTTCAAAGAGAAATGGTGGCTAATGGCTGGCCCATCAGAGAAAGAGAATAGGAATATTAGCATGCTGGTGAGATAATCCCTAGCCCACAATACTGTAGCAGTGAAGTACTGGGAAATGTGTTTTTCCCAATTTAATGTTGTGCAAAAATGGAGTTTTCAGATCACAATAACGCTGTCATAAAAAAAGGAGACCCAAATTTATGTAGGTGGATCTTAGAAAAAGAATACATATGTAAGTCTATTTTCATGTATAATGGAAAAAAAAAGTCTTTGTTCTTAATTTGACATGCTATTTTAAATCATTTAGATTTATTTTAGTAGTGGGGTTTTAATCAATATTTTTGAATAGGGAAAAGCATACATATAGTACAAAATTTTAACATTACAGATGGGTAGATAGTGAAAAGTCGCGACCAATGTTATCAATTTCTTGTGTATCCTTCTAGAGTTACTCTACATATACAAGCATATGTGTATATATATATTATTTTTAAACATACAGATGAAAACATATATATACTCTCCTGTACTTAGTAGGATCAATTTTAGATCTGTCATTTTAAGTGATTTTGTTTCTTCTACTTAAATATCATACTTGATCTAGTTAACATCACTTAATTTGAACTATTATTACATCAAGGGGAATATTAAGGAAATGTTGAATGAATACCATTGGTATTTACTTAAAATACAAATATATGCATATATTAATTTTTAAAATGTACAGATATTCAGTTTATCCTACTAGTTTCCCTTCCCTATTCCTAGCCATCTTGCCTTCCTATATTCCACCTCTTTATTCCCCCCAAAAAATATTAATCTTTTTTCTGAAGTTACACAGTTCAGAAGAGGCAGGATATTAAATAATTTAACAAAGTGTTAGTTTAGATAAACTATGTTCTCTAGTGAAAAACACTAATATTTAAAAGCTTTAACTAATTATCACATTCAATTTGTACTAATTCTGTTACTATTACCTTATTTTTATCCAAAGACTTTGCCATTATAAGAGCAAATAAGTATTAGAACTATAGTGAAAGGTTATGTTATTACTCTGTTGAAATCTTTTGATTTATTAACATGGAGCTTTTATCTTTATGATGAGAAAGATACAAAATTCACCTAGCATTATCAAATCCGAGTCTAAGCAAGGAGTTTACACTAGTCCTAATTGCTTAAAGCATTGATTTCTCATTGAAGGACCCAGAATCTGTCAGAAGTCCTTGGGACCAGAAGATGCTATGCTAATTTGAAGAAAGAATAAAAATTTGGGGGGGGGGCACTATAAGGTTACAAGTACAACTAAACCATCTCTATCCTCTGCTAGAAGAATATAAAATAGTAAATATAAGT